TTCACTGGCCAGGGAGGGGAGGAGCTGGGCTATCAGTGCCCTGGAAAGACAGCTGGGGTTGTGAGCAATAGGGCAGTGCCTGCAAAACTCACGTTGTCGGGGCCTGAGAGAGTCACCGAGGCGGGTGGGGACTGGCTAACGGCGGAGTGCTGACCCGCGTGAGGACGTGCCTGCCACCACTCTGGCTGACTGTCGCCACATCACCTGGAATACAGGCTGCTGTTGACAGAGATTCTGATTTTGCAGGAGAAGCTGAACCTTCTGGGCATCAAAATCAAGTTAATCAAACAAAACGTGTGCTGAACAGACGAGGTCCAGGGGCTGCCAGTCGGCAAGCTTGACACACATGGGGTTTATTCACTCATTCATTGTTTTTAGTAAACGGTTTTGAGCTCCTACTTGGAAATGGGGACCTTGCTCTTCAAACCCTCCATGCCTGCTCCAGTCCCGGCATCTCTACCCCGAATCTGTCAGCCTGGCCTGGCCTCGCTCCCCACGCCCATGCCCCCTCTGCCTGTCCTCTCCTCCTCACCCCACCCTTGGCCCTAAGCCGGCCTGTATCTGTGCTCCCCTGCACCTGTCCTGGGGCTCCTGCGGGACCCAGCAGGCCCTGCTCAGCGGCCTCTCCCCTCCCCATCCAGGCTAGTGCACGGGTTCTCAGCCTGTCCCGAATCTAATGTGCTCACCGGCCACTTTTCATCAGCAAATGGCTTGGTCTCCAGGCTGACAGAGACGGCCAGGTGTGCCACCTCCTTCCCGGGTGTGTCTGGCTCCTCGCCCGTCAGACCTCCCCTCCCCACGCCCACAAATGCCCCCTCCCCCAGGCAGGAGCCTCCACTCCTATTCATCCCCCCACCCCAGGCTCCTCAGGCACTTGGCTTCTTCTTTTCTCTCTTCTGTATATCCAGCCCCTCCCTCTCTCGACCTTAGCACACTCAAGACTCCCTCCCTAAAACAGCAGAACAGAGAACACTCCTCCCTTCTCTCTGCGAGGCCCTTCATTTATCACACTTGGTCCCCCTCCCTTCCCAGGCAAGTTCTCAAAGAGATATCTCCACTGGTCCTTTCAACTCTTCCTCACCAGCTCCTCCCCTCCCGCTCTCTGGGCCTGACTTCTGACCCCACGCCCTGATGAGACAGTGTTCCCCACTTACTCAAGAACCCTGGGTTGTCACATCCAATGGGATGCTTTCCAGGCCTTCTCACGCTTGACCCAGGGACAGCACGTGATCATGTGGGCCATACCCTCCTTGGGAAACTCTGCTTCTCTCTGGGGTACAGGGCACATTCTCTCTTTGTTCTTCCATTTCTTTATTTATTTTTTAAAATTTATTAATTTTTGGTTGTGCTGGGTCTTTGTTGCTGTGTGTGGGCTTTCTCTATCTGTGAACAGGCTTATTGCGGAGACTTCTCTTGTTGCACATTCTGGTCTCTAGGCGCTTGGACTTCAGTAACTGCAGCAAACAGGCTCAGTAGCTGTGGGGCACAGGCTTAGTTGCCCCAAGGCATGTGGAATCTTCCTGGACCAGGGATCAAACCCCTGTCCCCTGCATTGGCAGGTGGATTCCTATCCACTGTGCCACCAGGGAAGTCTTGTTCTTCCATTTCAATGGCAGCTCTGGCTGGGGTTTCTAATGCCCACCCCTGAGGGCTGACGTTCAGCCCTTGGTTCACCCTCTCCCCGGGGTCTTCATATCCTCCCTGATGCCTTCAACTGACGTCCACAATTCTTCAGGTATTTCTTTTTTCACAAATTCCAGAACTCTTCAAGGGAAATACAATATGAGCCACATATGTAATGTAAAATTTTTCTAGTAGCCACATTAAAAAGGTAAAAAGTGACAGGTGAAATTAGTTTTTAATAGTTACTGTATTTAACCCACATGTCCATAATGTTACCAATTCAACATGTAATCAATATACAATTATTTAAGATTTATATTTTCTTTTTCCTACTAAGCCTTGGAAATCTGCTGTGTACCTTACACTTACAGATCTCAGTTCAAGTACATAATGGCCAAGTGTGGCTCGTAGCCATCATATTGGATGATAGATCTAGACTCTGATTTCCAGCAGTCTGGACATCTAGAGGTCTCTCAAAGACAACACATCCAAAACATAGAGTATTCAGAGGAGATGCCATCTGAATATGGCCTTAAAGTAGAGTATCAGTTTTTCAGGATCTACGATCAGGTATTCCAGAGGGAGGGCGTGACCTATGCAAAACACCGAGGCATGAGAAAGCAGGCATGAAGGGAGCAGTCCAGTTGTTTCCTCTGAGACTGGCATAGGCAACTGCCTAGATTCGAAACTGGCTTACTGTGTGCAAGATGTGCACTTAGTTTTTTTTTTGGTTTTATTTTGTTTCTAAAAGATTTATTTATTTATTTATTATTTTTGGCGCGCTTAATCCCAATTGCTTTGTCTTGTTGAGGCAAGCAATGTATTCTCGTTGTGGAGCAGACTCTAGGGCACATGGGCTTTGGTAGTTGCTGTGTGTGGGCTCAGTAGCTGTCGCACACGGGCTTAGTTGCTCTGAAGCATGTGGGATATTCCCAACCCAGGGATCGAACCCCTGTCCCCTGCATTGGCAGGTGGATTCCTAACCACTAGACCACCAGGGAAGCCCCAAGATGTATATTTGAGACAAGCCACTCAACTTCTCTAAACCTCTGGTTTCTCATCTGTCAAATGGGGAGAATAATAATACCTAATGAGTAAACAGGTTTAAGGGTTAAAGGAGGTGAGAGGTAGAACTTGCTTACCAGTGCCTGGCACATAGTGAGTGCTCAATAAATAGTTATTATTATTTTTTTTCTTTATTTTTGGCCCACCACGTGACATGTGGGACCTTAGCTCTCTGACCAAGGATGGAACCCACACCCCCTGCAATGGAAGTGTAGAGTCTTAACCACTGGACAGCCAAGGAAGCCCAAATGGTTATTATTTTTAATAGTAGTAATGTTATTTGACTTCCCAGGTGGCACAGTGGTAAAGAATCTGCCTGCCAATGCAAGAGGCGCAAGAGATGCACATTCAGTCCCTGGATAGGGAAAATCCCCTGGAGGAGGAAATGGCAACTTGCTCCAGTATTTTTGCCTGAAAAATTCCATGGACAGAGGAGCCTGGTGGGCTATGGTCCCTGGGGTTGCAAAGAATTGGACATCACTGAGTGACTGAGCACACATATAATGCTATTATTGGTAACACTGGTGTTCAACATAGAGAATACTAGACCCGATACGAAACTGAGAGGCAGAAGGCATGAAAATCAAGGATCTTAAATGGTGACTTACTGAGTTTGGACTTTATCCTAGAAATGGAAGGGAGCCAGGAATGTTTGGACCAAAGGTAGACAGACATGGTCAGATTTTTGTGTTAGGTCACTCTGGCTACAAGGAGACTGGGTAAGATCTGGGGAGAATATAACCAGAGCTGACCGTGTGCGATGGAGAACATGCAAGTTTCTGGCTTGGCCAAATGGGATGGGGGAACATGGAATGAAGATCACATTTTCTGAGAGATGGTGAGCTTTAGAGCTGGAGGTGCCTGTGGAACACCCTGGAGACTTCTCAGAGGTATTTGGAAAAATAGATCTGGCTCCCAAGTGCAGATTTTGGGAATTAGTCCATCAGGCGTATCTGAAGCTGGTAAGAAAACCCAGGAGTGACTGAGGTGAGTTATGAAAAAGGCCAGGGATAGAACACAGGGATCATCTGTATTTATGAGGCAGGTGAAAGAAGAAGAATGTGGGAAGGAACTGTGGAGAGGGAAAGGCTACAGAGAAAAGAGGGAAACCAGGAGAGAGACATGTCGGGGAAGCCAATGAAGAGGTCCTTCTGGAAGCAGAGCGGTGAGGAGAGTGAAAGTCAGCACAGTCAAGTGAGACGATGCCTGAAGGGACCACCGGGAGATCCAGAGGCTGGAGCCCTCAGACAAGGGAACTGGTGTCTGTGACACGGGATGCAGGAGCCAGACTGGGAGGGGGGCAGGGGAAGGGGCAAAGCACCTGAGATGGTTGGATGGCATCACCGACTCAATGGACGTGAGTATGAGTCAACTCCGGGAGATGGTGAAGGCCAGGGAGGCCTGGTGGCTGTAGTCGACAGGGTTGCAAAGAGTTGGACACGACTTAGCAACTAAACTGAAGCTGAGCGGGTCCTTCCTGGAGCCTGACTGACATGGGAGGAGGCATCCAGGAGTCCACAGCTGGACAGGGAGGCCGGGATGAGCTGGAAGCTCTACTTTAAGGAAGGAGGAGACCCAAGTCTGTGGGAGCCAGTCAAGGGGAGGGTAGAAGATACAGGCAAGAGGGAGGAAGGCCTCTGCAGAAGGAGAGAGAGGAGGGCACAGGAGCCAGAGCTGGAGGGGAAGGCAGTACAGATGCAGTGGGAGGGGGGTGTTAGTGGCTAGGGGGAGCTTGAGTAAGGGCCTCCTTTTAGGTCTCTAACCTCCCTGAGAAGGGGCTCAGTGGGGAGACTCATCTGATGAGATCTGGTGGTTGGGGATGGGTGAGAAGTTCAGAGGTGACGCCTGAGGGTGGGCTTCCAGGGCTGATGCATGTGGAGGTGGTGAGGGTTGGTGGTGGGTCCTGACAGAGCCCAAAAGGAAGTCTGCGGAGTCCCTGAAGAAATTTCCTTTGGACTACGCTGATGAGCGAGAAGCTCTGAGGGGTCCAATCCACACCAGCCCTGTCCTCCTGGAAGCCCTTCAGGTGGACTTGGAGTCTAGGCACCTGGCAAGGTCCGTGGGAGCCTGAATCTCCCTCCTCACCCGGCTCCTTCTCTAGCACGCGTCCAGCTCCCACTGGTCAGTTGTGACAGGCCTTGGCGGGGGCAACGGGACGAGGTCACGAGGAGGCGTGTCTCTGGAGGAGGAGGGCATGGCAGAAGGGGGTACCCAAGGGCAATGCCAGGGAGACCTAGCGTGTGGAGGCGTGGAGCCCCAGCTGAGGCTGGGCTGCCTGGGTGGGCGGCCCCCTCAGAGGCCCTCTCCCACAGGTGTTTGGCCTCGGCTCCGTGGCCCACATGGTTCTAGGAGGTAAAATGGGGAGCTACCTTGCTGTCAATTTGGGTTTTGGCTTCGGAGTCACCATGGGAGTGTACATGGCGGGGAACATCTCTGGTGAGTAGACCGGGCCCCAACCGACATGTCCCCCGTGGGCTCCTCCGGCCCCCTTCCAGCCAGCCCCTTCTCCAAGTCAGCTGGTGCCTTGCCCTCACGGGCCACTTTCCTCTGCCCAGACGCTTCATGAGCCCCCTTGACCCACCATTTTTACAAGCTGGGTTCCCTCAGGCAAGCGACTGAACTCTCCACCCATTGCTTTGCTTCATGGGGAGATGGAGACAGTGGTTTCTGCCTCGCAGTGTCCCTGTGAGGACTGAGCGAGCCCCCTTCACAGACGCTCGCTATTCTCATTGCTGTTGCCGTTGCTCTCGGTGTTACTGATGGCTGTTTGTTTCTTTGCTGACACCCTCGGCCGTCCCTGCAGGGGCCCACATGAACGCGGCCTTGACCTTCACCAGCTGTGCGCTAGGCCGCATGTCCTGGAGGAGGTTTCCCGTGTACGTTCTGGGCCAGTTCCTCGGCTCCTTCATGGCGGCGGCCACCATCTACGGCCTCTTCTACAGTGAGTGTCCTGCCCTGGGTGGCCCACCTCTGGCTTCGGCCTCCTCCCCTGAAATGTGGGCAGCTCCGAGCGCGTCCTCGCCTGTGAAAACGCTGGGATAGAAGAGTCTCGGAGGCGCTCCCTGCACTCCATCCTACCGCCTCATCTCTGGGACAGCGGCGGGGTTCGGTCGGGGGCGGCGGGGGGGGGCAGGTTCACACTCAGTCTGTATTCCCACAGCCGCTATTATCGACTTCTCGGGGGGAAAGCTGACGGTGACTGGCCCGACAGCCACTGCTAACATCTTTGCCACCTACCTTCCTGACCACATGACACTGTGGAGGGGCTTCCTGGATGAGGTCAGTAGTCCAGGCACAGGTAGCCCTCCTCGGGCCCTCCTCCACTCAAGAAGGGGCCAGCAGGCAGCCCCCTGTAGTGGAGCGGGCAAGAACCCTGGATGGGACAATATAGAGTCACGGCTCTGCCAGGGGTGGGGGCTGGGGGCGCTGCTGAGGCCCTTGGGCTTGGCCGGGGGCCCCAGCTGCTGCCACGGTGCCTCTCCCCAGGTGGCGGTAACTGGGATGCTTCAGCTGTGTCTCTTAGCCATCACAGAGAAGGGGAACAACCCAACTCTAGCGGGGACGCAGGCCATTGTGATCGGCATCCTCGTTGTCATCATCGGAATATCCTTGGGCATGAACTCGGGATATGCCATCAACCCATCCCGGGACCTGCCTCCCCGCTTCTTCACCTTCCTCGCTGGCTGGGGCTCACAGGTCTTCAGGTACTGCATGGTCCAGCCCACTCCTGGGAGTTTCCTGTGGGTTCCCTGCATGCAGAGGGTGGAACAGCCCAGGAGCGTCCTGCAGATCCGCCCCCTCCAGGCAGCAGCCTGGGAGGCAGGAATGGGTCCTGACCTTCCTCCAGACCCTGCTCCTGGACTGAACGTCAGCCCTGCTCCAGACCAGCTGCTGTCCCTGAATCAGGCTGAAGCTGATCAGTGCCCCAGGCTCAGGGCCGACTCCCGGGCTAGGATGGGGCTTCCTCCTCTACTCTCCAGCCCCTGCCACCCCTCCTCGCGTCGTGGCCTGAGGTAGACGCAGGTGCCATGCTGGGTGCTGGCCCCCTAAGCAGGCCTCTGCCTTCTGCCTGCAGCGCCAGGGACTGGTGGTGGGTGCCAGTAGTGGCACCGCCCCTGGGTGCCTACTGCGGGGCCATGATGTACGCGATCTTCATCGGTTTCAACAAACAACAGGAGCCCCAGGTCCTGGAGAATCCCAAGATGTCTGAAGACCGCAGAATATCTGTGTTGCCCAAGACCGTGTCTCACCAGCACGGGGTCTCTTCCCTCACCCCTGTCTCTGTGTACCCCGAAGACAGACCCTCAGTCTTGCACCACCCTTAAGTGACTCCATCTGCCTAGAGCCCCTTTAAGACTATTTGTGAGCCTACATCCACCCCAATAAAGAAAGCCTTGTCCCACAGTGGCAACCCCGCTTCTTGCGGGCCTCCTGTGGTGGGGCTTACCTCCTGGGTTCTCCCAGGAGCTCCCGGATTATGCTTGTAGCCCAAGGCTGAGCACAGAGCTGAGTGGCCTCCGACTCCTGCCGGCCCTGGGAGCTGGGTGGCCCCCAGGGGAGCAAGTGGAAGGGCCGATCAGTGGCCTCAGTAAAGACAGGACCAGATTAGATGACCCCGGACACGGAAGGGTGGGCTGCCAGGCGCAGGGCAGGGAGGGGATGGCATGGGGGAGGGATTCCACCTGGCAGGTGGGGGTCAGCCCTGGAGGAACCATGAGCTGCCCTGGGAGAAGACTCTGGACTCTCCTTCAGTCCTGGCCAGTCCTTGGACCAGGCAGGCCGAGGTCCCAGTGTGTGGATTAGAGTTTCTCAACATTTTTTCCCCTTATTCTCCCCTCCTTAGGAGCCTTCTAGGATTTTTTTCCCCTTAATCACATGATATTTTAATACCACAGATATACTGCATATCTGTTTGTGTACTGTAAATATATCTTTGCTTTATACAAAAGAAGTAAGGTTTTAAAAAATCTCTCCCTTACAAGGATCCAATTTTTTCACCCATGGGAGCATAATCACCCCACCCTTGAAAATGCCTGAAGCAGACTGAGAGGAGGTAAGAGACAGGCTCTGCCTTCTTCGTGGGGGCAGAGCTCTCCCACCGTGGAGAATCTCAGAGCCGGAAAGGAAGAAGCAGAGAGGAAAATCCTGTCAAAAGGCAGGGGACAGGAAATGGTCTCATGAGGTTCCGGGGAACAGGTCCACCAATCCCAGGCCGGGAGGATCAACCTGCTTCTGGGACTCAGAAGGCAGCATCACCCATGGCTTCTGTCCCTGCTTCTGCTTTTAGCCTTTCAGCAGCCACTGAGCACCTCCTGGGTACAGGCTCTGCGGGTGAGGTTGGGTCTCTGTCTTCAAGGAGCACAGCCCCTACTAGGGACAGGTGATCACAAGAAAAGAGCGGAGGGGTGAAGAAGGGGCTGCGTGCAGGGCTCAGAGGGGGCTCACAGCTCAGTCCTGAGCTGAGGCCACAGATGGCTTCCTAGAGGACGAGACAGAGCAAAGGTGGGGGGTGGTCCTTTCTGGGGCTGGATGCCGAACTTCAGGGTTTGAGGAGACAGGGCAGGGGAGGTGGGTAGAGGACGCTGGTTTTCCTTCTGGAGCTGAGGACCTGGTGAGATGAGGTTTAGAAAGCCCACCTGAGCTGCAGTTTGCAGGATGCTGGAAAAGGGGGAGACTGGGGCCTGTAAGGAAGTGTGGGGCGAGGCTGCTCCAGGAGGGGCGGTGGGGCAGCTCACAGGTCAGCACTGGAGGGTGGAGAGAAGAGAAAGGATTCTCCTGACACCAAGGAGGTAAAAGCCTCAGGCTAGGCTCAGACTGGAGCGAGGAGTGGGTGAGGACGGGCCAGGGGCCAGGGCTGCCTTCCAGTTTCTGGTTTGGGCCCAGGGTGTTGGAGATGTCCCCACTTAACATGGAGAATGGGAAAGGCACTGGTTTGAAGAGGAAGATGATAATTTACACTGGAGACACATCGACTTTGAGTTGCCCATGGGACTTGGGCAATAGGTGTGTAGTCCTGGGCAAGTTATTCTGCCGTGCTGGGCCTTGGTTTTCTCATTTGTAAAGTTGGTCTAATGCTATCAAAATACCTACCATTTGTGTTGATGTGAATATTAGATGAAACAAAACATGTACCGTGCTGAGGATGGTGCCTGGTACAGAGTCAGTGCTCAATAAATGATTATGCCTTTCGTGTGGTCTGGAGCTCAGAAGAGTTGAAGTAGAGACTGGGGAAATGGGTTGTGTGGACAGAGCTGGGGCAGAAGAAGGGGGAAGGAAGGGCCATCGAGCAGGGTCCTGGGGAGGCGGAATGGGCCTCTCAAGAGGTTCAGCTGACGAGGGGCACAAGGTCAGGGGACACTGGAAACACCCCAGATGTCCATCAACAAGGGACATACTTACATTGCAGTCCAGTCACATAGGGCAGATTAGAATACATCAGTGAAAAAGTGAGGTACAAGAGCTACCTGTAATGACACGGAGAAAGTGTGCAGGCATAAAGAGTGATGTCGTACATTATACCATTAAAAACAAGCAAACAGCAATATATTCTTTGGGTGCACATATGTGATAAAACTCCCAGGTTCGATCCCTGGGTTGGGAAGGTCCACCAGAGAAGGGAATGGCAATCCACTCCAGTGTTCTTGCCTGGAGAATCCCATGAACAGAAAACCCGGGTGGGCTACAGTCTAATGGGATCTCAAAGAGTCAGACACAACTGAGTGAGTGAGCATGCATGCGTGTGATGAAACTACTTTTAAAAAAAGAAGAAAGGGACGTTCCTGGTGGGCCAATGGTTGAGAGTCCACCTGCCAATGCAGAGAACATCGATTCAGTCCCCGGTTCAAGATTCCAGATGCTGCGGGGCAACTAATCCTGTAGGCAGGCAGCTACTGAAGCCCGAGGGCCCTAGAGCCCAAGCTCCGAAAACAAGAGAAGCCATCGCAAAGAGAAGCCCGCACATTGCAACTAGAGAGCAGTCCTGCTCGCCGCAACTACAGAAAGCCTACACGCAGCAACGAAGACCCAGCACAGCCAAAAATTAAAAAAAAAAAGATAGTAAACTCCATGAGAGAAGGGACCAACTTTTCACTAAAAAAAAAAAGGCATACTTCCTTCATGGAGACAGAGACAGTGCTAAAATGGGGAGGAGCATGGGAGTAGGGTAAGCTAGTAGTGATTTTCCAGTTCTGGGGTCGGGGTAAATTTGGGGATTCATTATGTGACTGTGCTTATACAACTGTGATACATATTCATTCAAAAGTATCATTTATTTTAAAAGATGAAAAAGAAATAGGAATAGCATGAGAACAGGTGATGGGAAGAGTGCCAGGGATGGGGCTCAGTGAGATTAGCGGGCTGGGGGCACAGGGTGGAGGAGAGACGTGGGTGAGTCTGACATCCCACGTGGGGGGAACCGAGCCAGGGACTGGGCCTGGGAGCGTCTAGGGAGGGGCCCACAGCCGGAAGTGCCAGTCAGCTCCTCCCCCTGTGACCCTGGACCCGTCTGTTCCCCTCTCAGCCTCGGCGACCCCGTGAACACAAGGAGGGTGGCCACTTTCTTCCCTGGTGTTCCTTCCAGAGCAGTGTGACCTTAAGGCCTCAGTCACAGATGAGAGGGGCATATACAGACCCTCCTCTGCCCCACTGGCCACTGCAGCCTTCTGGCATCCTCATGTGCCCGGGAGGTGGCTTTGGAGGCAGGCCAGCCAGGCCGTCTACCCAGAACCCCTCCAGCTGTCTGGAGCTATGCCTCAGACCTATAGTCGGCCCACTGCCTGGAACCTCCTGCTGAAGCTGATCCCAGTGTCAGGCTCAGGTGACCTGGTCTCAGAGCACTTCTGGGCACACGGCACGGACCCCTTCGTTCTCTTGGCAGAGAACCAGACGCCATCCTAGAGTTAAGGATACAAGCATTTAAAAAGTCTTTGTTCTCCTGGAGCCGATATTCTGTGCAAAACATGTTTGTGGTATATGCTAAGCAGGAAAAGTGGAAAAGGAGGATAGGAAGTGTGTGTGGGTGTGAAGACTGGAGGTAAATGAGTAAAGACTTGAAGATGGTGAAGGAGTGAGCCATGTGGACATGTTGGGGAAGAGCATGCCAGGCTGAGGGAATGGCCAGTGCAAATGTCTGAAGGTTCGAGCATGGAAGGACCTTTGCTGGAATGGCAAGACTCGGGGAGCAGCGGAAGACAAGAGAAGTGAGTGGGGGGTGGTGAACTGAGCCCATGCCTGGAGAGAGGTGAGACCAAGGCTTGGGCCAGAGGAGAGGGAGGTCTCTGGAGGACAGAGGCAGGTGACACGGCAGGAGGTAAAGACGCGAGGAAGGGAGGGAGGGAAGCAGGAAGAAGAGGTGGGGCAGGGGTCATGGTGCCTTATCGCTGCTTTGGGCTTTGCTCACACACACAGCCCCTCCTGCAAGCATTCCCTGACTAGACTCCAGAGGGACATCTGTTCAGCTCTGGGAGCCAGGCTAGGATGTGAGCTATAGGAGCCCTAGCTCCTGTCCCATTCTTCTAGTCCCAGGCCGGCATGGACTGACTGCGTGATGCACACACGACCCTCCCCTGCTCTGGGCCTCAGCTTCCCTATCTGTATAGTGAGGCTGGGACCTGTTGGCATCTGGGGAGCCTACCTGCTCTGACTTCTTGCAGCACTTCAAAACTTCATATCACAACCCCATTACTGCCCCCTGCCTCAGGCTGGCTGAGGCTCTGTTTGAGATGGGGACAGGGATGGGACAAGAAGGAACCCCCCCCCAACACCGTCAGCTCCAGGCCAAGCTTCTCCAGGGCTTTGCCAATGGAGGTCTGGCCCTCAGCTTGGTGGTCCTGGCTTTGGGAAGAGGCTCTTCTTACTCCTTGCCCGGCCAGCCGCTCTCCCACTCCCACCCCGGTGGCCCCTCCATCTGCCTGGTCTCACTGTCTCCTCCTCAGATGAGGTTCCGCATGCCGGGGGGAGATGGAAGGAGCCATGGGCCTGGACCTCGCTGCCAGCAACTGCAGAGAGCCAAGGCTGTGGCCACAAGGCCTGCCCTGGCTCTGAACCCACCCTTGTGCTGAACCCAGAACGGGTCCAGAGCTCTGTCCCAGCCTCCCGTGTGCAGGACTCATAACTATGGCATCTAAGAACACAATGAGGCCAGCCCTCCTGGTCCAAACAGCCGCTCTGCCGCTCACTGGCTGTATGAGCTTAGGAAGGACAGGACGTAACAGCACTCACCTCCCAGGCTGCCGGGATGATGGAATGAGCTCAGCCTGCCACGCAGGAAGGGAGCATCCTGTCGCCACTCCACACTGTCTCATGGTCCTCAGGCCATCACACCCATCTGACACCAAGGAATCTGGGGCCTGGGGAGGCTGGCTCAGCAAGGGGTACAGAGTAGGGATTCCAGCCCTTTGTTGATATGATCTCTACTGGGTTTTGTTTGGTCTTTAGACTGTAAAATATATTCTGTAGACGTGTGAATAGAACATACAGTTAAGGGCTTCCTTGGTGGCTCCGCGGTAAAGAATCTGCCTGCCAACGCAAGAAACATGGGTTAGATGCCTAATCTGGGAAGATCCCACATGCTGCAGAGGAGCGAAGTCTGTGAGCCCCAACGAATGAGTTCCCATGCCCTAGAGCCCAGGGCCACGAGAGAGGCCACCACAGTGAGCACACCACCATAACCAGAGAGTGGTCCCCACTCACCGCAGCTAGAGAAAACCCAAGCAGCAGTGAAGACCCAGAACAGCCAAACATAAAATTATTTTTAAAACAGTTAAAATAACAGTGAAACATTGAAAAACAAACAAACTCTATATAAGCAAAAAGCCCAAACATCCAAGTGCCCTTAGCAAGCTCGGGCAGGTTATTGAAACTCTCTGGGTCTCAGTATCCTTATCTGCAAAATTGAAGTCATGTGGCCCAGAGGAGTGAGGTGCTTTAGGTTTCAGGTTGGCCATCGGCATTGATGGAGCATGGCTGGGCAGAGTTTACCAGAGTTCATGGTCTCCCCTTGTGTCTGTGTTCAGAAGCCAAGGTGGCAGCGGGCGAGTACCACAGGGTGTGTGAGGGGATGCTCTGGCCCGGGGGGGGGCGGGCGCCTGAGTGAGTGGTGGAGGCTCGGAGGCTGAGACATACAGTTCAGAGGCAGGTACACCCAGGGACACAGCTAAGGTCATATGTCCAAGGCTGAGCCTTTGAGTCCTCCAGGGACCCAACAAACCCCTTGCTGGCTGATAAAGAGGATCCCTCAGACAGGGGTTACTGTTGGAAGGACGTGTTCTTGCCCTTGCTGCCCCCCCCACATTCCTCCACATATGCCCTGGTTCCTCTGGTCCCAGGTCAGGGGACATTAACGAGAAGATGATCTCCTAATGGAGGCGCAGCGCCAGGGCAGGGGAGATTGGCTAGGGGAGACACCAGAGGGCAGTCTGGAGGTTGGGTGTGCTGAATGAGAGGTACCTGTGGGATATCTAGGGAAAGACCCAGTCCTGGGCTAGAGAAGGAGCTTTTAAGCCTAGGGAGGCAGTTAAGAGCTTGCAGGTGGATGAGGTGGCCCAGGGGGAGATGGTGAGCCCCTCTGAAAACGGTGTTTCAGAGATGGCTGAAGGGGAGGCGGTGGCCGAGGTCTGTGATCTCCTCTGACGCCAGGAACCTGAACTCTACGGGGCATTACCTGATTTGTGCTTTGGGGCCAGTCCCTTCCCTCAGGCGGTTCAAACAAGTGAGGGCACATGAGGGAAGCCCATAGCCTCCTGGGCAACGTGGAAAAATGCCCCAGAGATGCTCGCCTCGCGGGACTGCCCTGCAGCCCTGAGTCACACAGCTCAGGCCCATCTCGGGCTCTGGCAGTCTCTGCTTCTTGCCTTGTCCTCAGCTCCCTGCCCTCCAGATGACAGAGTGCCCAGGGCAAAATCCGTGGACTCTTTTCTTTCACCTGCCCTCCCCAAAATGACTTCACTGGCTTTTAAATACCACTGGATGCCAACAGCTCCCCAAATTAGATCTCCAGCTCAGTCCTGTCTCCAGACTTCAGAGTCTCATGGACAACCGCCTCCCAGTCAGATTTTCCTCTCCCAAGCCTGCTCCTCCGACTTTCCTATCCCAGTAAAAGGCACATTCAATCTTCCCATTTCTCAGGCCCCAAACCTTGAGATCATCTCGGCTCCTCCTCTCACACCCCACATCCCATCTGTCCACAGATCCTTTAGGTGTGATCTGCAAATTGTGTCTAGAATCCAACCACCTCTCAGAGTCCTCGGTTTGAGCCACTGCCCCCTTGCTCTTGGACTACAGCAGTGGCCTTCTGACTGTTCCCAGCCTCTTCTCTGGTTGACTCAGCCCTACAGTCTAGTCCCAGGTGCTGCTGCTGCTGCTGTCGCTTCAGTCGTGTCCGACTCTGTGTGACCCCACAGACGGCAGCCCACCAGGCTCCCCCGTCCCTGGGATTCTCCAGGCAAGAACACTGGAGTGGGCTGCCATTTCCTTCTCCAATGCAGGAAAGTGAAAAGTGAGAGTGAAGTCGCTCAGTCGTGTCCGACTCTTCGCCACCCCATGGACGGCAGCCCACCAGGCTCCTCCGTCCATGGGATTCTCCAGGCAAGAGTACTGGAGTGGGCTGCCATCACTTTCTCCAAGTCCCAGGTGGCGCATTGGTAAAGGATCCAAATGCCAATGCAGGAGATGCAAGAGACATGGGTTCAGTCCCTGGGTCAGGAAGATTCTCCTGGAGCAGGAAATGGCAACCCACTCCAGTACTCTTGTCTGGAAAATTCTATGGACTGAGGAGCCTGGCGGGCTACAGTCCACGGGGGTCGCAAAGAGTCGGACACAATTGAGTGACTATGAACATTCATACAGCCTAGTCTCAATATAGCAGCGGGGATGACATTTTCCAGAAACGAACCAGATCTCATCATTCACTCCTCGGCCCTAAGTTTCCAGTGACTTAAAGGCCCCTGCTACTCATCCCGCTACTGCCTGGTGGCTTTGCTGTTCCCTTCAAGGTACAGGCGTATTTCTACCACTGAGCACCGGCCTTGGCTGTTTCTCTGGGATGGTCTCCCTTCAGGTGTTTGAAACATTAGATATGTTTTTCCTCCTGTGCTTACAGTATGTATACCAATAAGCAGAGAGAAACAGTATTAAAAAAGAAGAAACGAAAAGGTGATTAACTTAAAAGATACCGGTTATAAACTGATCTAAAAAGTTTTAGTGTTGTCCTAAGGCAAAGTATAAGTAATCCCCTGGCCCCGGTTTGGGGATACACACTGCCCCCTCATGGCCACTGCACAGAACGGCCTCATCCCAGGGTAGTCTCTACACTGGGACGCGGTCTAAGCTTCCCTCCCACTTGTCCTGACCTGCTGGGCTGGGCAGTCTCAGGGACTTCAGAATGAGCTGCATGAACAGTCGCGGCTCTGTGTGGGGCCGGGAGACACGAGTTTTGGAGTCAGAGCTAGTAGGAATTTCAGATCTCCAATTCGCTGAGTGATCTTGGGCAAGCGACCTAACTTCTCCAACCTTCAGTTTCCTCATAGGTAAAACTGAGAAAATAACGATACACACTTTATGGGGCTTTGAGGAGTAAAAGATACGAGCACAGTGCCTGGTGTATCAAGGGCTTGAAAGCTATTAGAAGTGCTCAATAGCTATTAGCAGCTTCCACTTAGAAGCTAACAGTTCTTCACTATTAGAGGAGACTCTTGGGAAAGTGTGGGTAGGTGAAGACTCCTGATTCCCTCATGCACGTGGCAGGCGGTGGTAGTGGTGTAAGGGGGCAGGTGACTGAAGACCCCAGGCCTTGCCAGAGCAGCCTCATGATGTCTGTCCCTTCCCTCCCTATGCCCAAGACACAGTCCCGGGACAGGCTCCAGAGGCTTGAGCGTGTCGAGCTGTCACATGACACCGGGAGACCCTCCCGACCCCTCAGACCCTGCCAGCCCACTCCCCTCCCAGAGGCCCAGGGCAGAACATAGGCAGGAACTCCTCCTCCTCGGCTGACGGTGGGAAAGGCAGTGCCTGGACACTGGAAGCAAACGGCCCAGGAACAGTGAGCGGAGGGAGACGATCGGGCCCGGAGGGCCAGCCGAGCTCTCTCCAAGTGGGTGCCCCGGGAGGCGGTGCGCGTGAAGCTGGGGCTGAGGGCAGGACTCCAGGGGAGCTCTGTTCCGGGAAGACAGCGCCTCTTTTTCTGAGGACTTGCCCCCTCTGCTGGCCTTGCTTGGGGAACCCCAGGCCTGGATTCCTGACTTGGCTTGGCACACAGCCCTTGGAGCCCTGTCCCTTCTGGCTGGGTCTTTTCAGACTGGGGTGGGTCTGGCTTGGAGAACACCCTGGGATATGTCAGCACTGAAAGGCCACGGGAGACACTATGGGACATCTGTGGAACTTCCCCAATGGGTGTGGCAGGGTGTGTGAGGGGACTGAGGAAGGCAGGCAGGTCTGTGACAGTGAAGCAGCTCTGGCCTGCCCCTCCTTGCCCCAGTTTTGGAAGAGGGGGCAAACTGGCAGGTTTTCCTTAGAGAACAAGGTCTCCAGGCTTCAGGCATGAAGCAACGCGGGCACCACTTGGGAAGGACCCCCCAAACCCAAACCTCAGGGCCACTGTTTGAGCCTCCCCGCCCCAGGACTGACATTCCTTCTTCCCCTGGCCTGTCCCCCACTGGCCCAGGCAGGAGCAATCCCAGACCCCGCAATCAGGAGGACTGCTTTCATCTCCATTCTGCACACAGCCTCTCACAGCACACCAGACTGGTACCACTGCTGAGTGGAACCAGCCCTGCCAGACAAGCCAGAGGGAATTCCAGAGTTAAGAACTTGGCCTCTGGAAAGCTCTGGTCCCAACAGTAAACTCCCATTGGAGACTGGAGCTGGAGGGGCAGGAAGATATCACTGGTTCTCAGGGATCAAAAGTGGGGTCCTGATGCCCAGAGAGCCCCACTCCATGTGAGGGATAGAGGTGTTTTTCCTTTTAGCCCGCACACAGCGTAATTTACTTAGATTTGCAAGATTTGGTCTAAGGTCACTGCTTAGTGGAGAGTCCACCAAACCCATGAGAACCCCTTTGCTGAGGGGGTCTGGCCCCCTGCTGAACACCAGCAGCCTATCATCCCTCCTAGATCTCCTGACCTCTGAATACAACCCATGAGTTATTGTTCTTTCATTTCTAAATGGTTGGAAAAATATAAAAATATTTTCTAACATGTTAGAATTCTATGAAGTTCTCATTTAGTGTCTATCAAGTGTCAAGACCAGAGCCACACTCATGCCTGTATTTACTGTCTGGGGCTAGTCCACACTACGGGGGCAGACTTGGGTAGCCATGCCAGAAACTCACAATGCCTACAGCATCCGGGCATCCACAGAAGACCTCTGCCGCCTCCTGCCCTCAGCTTTAAGCCCAGCTGTGCTGCTCTGCTGAGAATCCCTGTGGCTCCCCACAAACTGACTCCTGTCTACCTCTCCAGCTTCATCACCTGTCCCCTCAATTGTCTGCCCACTCTGGACAACCAATCCTCCCTCAAAACTCCCACAAACCATAGCCCTGGGCTTGTCTTTACCTTTACCTTTACCTTCACTCGCAACGCCTCTCTCCTCCAAATGGCAGTCTACCATCTTAAGACTCAGCTCAAACGCTCTCTTCTGTCTTCCTTCCCCATCCAGGGGTCGCTCCCCCAGGCAGGAGAGCTGACTCCCTCATAGCATACCACAGAAAACTCCTTGTACGGCTCCTCAGCTTTTAATAAACAGACTGAAGACCTATCTGTGCCAGACCAAACACTCTCACTCTATTTGTTCTGGTATGTGCCCCCCTCTGGATTACTAACTGCAAAAGAGCAGGCCATGTCTTTTCCCCACAACCAACCACAGCCCGGCATGGGCAGGGACACACGTGTTCACCATAAGCGGCTGGTTAGCATTCTAATCCTTTACTTGGCTAGAATGATAGGGGAGAGAGGGGCCTACATATTTTCCGAATACTGTAAAGTTTCAGCATGTGTAACAGCTCAGGCACCTCCATGTACATTATCACATTTAATCCTCAGGACTTCGGTGAGGAAGGCGGTAGCTCCACTCCATCAGGCAGCAGCAGGGCGTCCCATGGCAGAGCTGGAAGCTGAGATCAGGTCTCCGCCTCCTGCTGGTGTGGAGATGCTCTCGCAGTACAGCTCACTCACTCAATCCACTGCTCGAAAGATGAAACAGATGCTTATGAGGTCCCTATTAGGTGTGGGGCCACTGACCCTCTGCTAAACGGGCTCAGGGCGAGGTGTGGCTCTGTCTCCTCCCTCGAGCCACCTGTCCCCACCCTCCCACCCCTTTTGCTGGACCTGATGTCTTTCAAGGCAGAGTGCCTGGGTCAGGACCAAAGGGCAGCCCTGCTTGTCCTGGTAAAACTAAGTGCCAGTTTTGTGACATCACTTCTCCTTTCTCCTTCTGTTGCTCTGGGGTTTGTGGCTTTTTCTGGAGCAGAAGGAAGCTGTTGGGAAGTCTGGCCTCTGTGTTGAAGAGGTACCAACACAAAGAGGGCTGAACTAATGTGACTGTCACTGCACCTGCCTTATAGGAGCCTGAAGAATGCCTCTGGGGGCCTGCTCGAGTAAGCCCTGGACCGCTCACATAGTTTTTTGAATATGCAAACAGAAGTCCAGAGCTCAGAGACAGGGAAAGCCAATATGGTTGCTGCAGGCCTGGGAGAAAGTGACATGGGAAAGGCAGGCGCCCAGGAGACTCCTTCTCAACCAGAGAGGCGGGGTCATGCCCGCACAGGTCAGCGCAGAGGCCACGGTGTGAACCAGTGGGAGGAGGAGCTCGTGCCATGTCCTCCACCCTCATGGTGGAGAGGGAATCTGTCACCACACAGGCTCGATGCTAAGAGGCCCTCTGCAGATTCCGGAAGACAGGTCCCCTGAGCCCTCTCTTAGGTCTGAACTGATGCTACTGAAGACCACTCAGATAAGTTTAGCTAGGTAGACCAGGGAGAGCTTTTGACAAAAGACTCAGCTAAGACAGCTGGGTTTAACCGCACACCTGACTTAGATGTGGTGTACCAAGCTGTTGTTTGGGATTCTGGACTGAGAAGTTAGCCTTTATCTTTCCGAAGATAGTGATCACTTTGGATTAAGAATGCAAGGCATTGTCAGGAGGAGGATGGGTAACTGGATGGACATCTGAGACCATGACTAAGTGACATTTTCAGGCTAAAATTCCGGTTTGACTAAAATCAAGTCCGATGTTCCCCCAACCCTCAGGGCAATCATGGCGATGGTGTGAGGAGCCTGTGCAAATTTAGCTGAATCACTAGTGATCGTCCAGTCAGAGATCTGGCAATAGTGAGACAAAGTGAGACACTTTACACATGGCAAAGCAGACAAGGGGATTTCTGACACAATCGTGGTTTGCATGTATCAAGGTCAAGACAGTAGGTGAGCTGTGACTCCACCAAGCAGTCGGGAACAAGCATGATTTATCTGTGGGGAAAAAATCTCCATCACGCCCAATCACTTTTTTTTTTTCCTAAGTATGTCATGATCTCCTCAGTCCTGGACATCAAAGTAGTCAATTACTGGCTCCTTCGCTATCTTCTGTAAATTGCTGCTCCCAGGATTCCTAAAAAGCAAACACAGAATGAGCAACCTTTTCTTGCTTGGGGGAAACTGATTCAGGCCGGTTTTAGAAAGTGAAGGGTCAATTTACCATGTCTGAGACTGCTAAGACAACACGGTCCACATGAGCAAGTAACTGTTGGAATTTGGTGAAGGGCACACAGGAGTTTATACTATCAACACTACTCTTTCTCTTCTAAAATTTTTCCATAATAAAGTCTTTCCCCAGGGAAGGAGTGGGGCTGGTCCTGAGAGCTACTTGGCCCCAGGACCCCTGGCTGACACTGTGCCCAGTGGGCCATACTGAGCTGTCCCGTCCAACTCCAAGGGAACAGCGACGGCTGGGACCCTCCTGGTGACCCACCCTCCTAGAGGTGCAGGAGGCTCTGGCGCGCTTCTGTGTGGAAGCCAGGGCGTGAGGAGAGACCCCACTGGGCTCCCAACAGCTTCCAGCTAGGTGGCCTCGTCCTGCGTAGGGCAGCTGGTCCCCTCCTGGGAAGGGAAGGCAGGATGACAACCCCTCTCTGCTCCTGGCTGAGAAAATGCCTGCCAGACCTGCTGCTCGCTCATGCGGCTTTCTTTTCTCTTTAATCACGAGCATACGGAAAAACGATTCAAACCATACGTAAGCAGAGCAAAACACCAAAGTTTCCCCCTTCACTGCCAACGCCCCCCTAGAATCCCACTTCTATCTTCAGAGTAACTGCTGTGAGTGTGTGATGTTCCCACATCACCTGGTGTGGCAGACTGAATCCATTTCCCAGCGTCACCATCTAGACCGTGGAAATTATGGCTAGTGCCTTTGCTCCCTGGAGGGCAAGTGGGCATTACAAATAGCAAACCTGGGACCCCTCTGGCATGAACAAACGTGTCCGGCATCCCAGTCAAACGTCGTATGTCTGAACGCAACGCCCCAAGGCCAGGCCCAAGGAGGCGCCAATGCCTAGTGCAGCTCAGGGCAGTTCACTCCTCACTGGCGTCTCTGGACAGACAGGGCCCTTCGGGAAGCAGCTAATGGATCCTTACTTGTCTGTCTGCCTGTGATGGGCGATCGGTGGCGGAGGCCGTGACTGATTCTCCTTTTCGAGTACACCTGTCAGTGTGGTAGGAGGACAAATGGACTTCCCTCTGTGAAAAGTCAGAACACAAAGTATTGAAAAGTGAGAACTGTTTGTGGAGACAGGCAGACAGATGGAAATCCAGGCCGGGACTCAACATGCTGCAGGGCACTCTCTGATACGACCTGTCACCTTTGATTAATCCTCATCCCTTTCATCTACATCTGCTGGGCCCACTACCTGCTTCCTCTCATCTCACTTGAGTCTTCTTTGTTGGGAGGTTCTTCCAACTCCCCCAGATTCGGACAGTGATCCTAGGTACTGCAGTCCCCTCCTTGCCCACACTCCTGCTTTAGTCTCCTCCAATGGCAAACACTCTTCACAGAGGATGCCGAGTCCCAGGCCAGCACTCTTTCTGTTTCCACGATGCCAGGAGGACACAAGGGAACAAAGGATGGATCTGATGTGAAATGTGCTGTAGGTATGTCTGCTCTGAGGTCTGAGGCATGGGCTTTACTCTCTGGTTCAGAGCCTTAGATCAGTCAGAATAGTTGGCCCAGAGGCAGACTTTTCACCTAATCTTCCAAAGAAGGAAGAAAAACAACACCCCAAGGCCAGGCCCAAGGAGGCACCAAGGACCAGTGCAGCCCTCCTGCACTGGTCACCGACCAGCCCAGGTTCTCAGGCCCAGGGCTCCCCCGAGCAGTTTCCCCTGTGACGGCGAGATCCACCCACCTGACCGCAGTGACCACCACATTGCGCTTCGGCTCACTGTCATAGCTCACGCTCTCCAGGCCGTACACCTGGGCCAGGTCGTGGATGATCCGGCGGTGGTCTCTGTTCATGGGAGGGAAGCAGTGGCTCTTCTTACTAATTTTCCCCTGTATGGAGGGAAAGGAAGACTGACTGGTAAACATCATTTTGAAAACAGGCTATGCCTAAAGAGGTCTTTCTCACTGTCCTGGAACAGCCTGGGCCAGTAAGAGGTGACTGAGTTTGGGAGGCCCAGGGACACAGCAATCCACTGCCTGCTGGGCAAGGTGGCGGGATTGGGGCGGGAAGGGCACAGGATATACTTCCTGCAATTCCTCTGCGAGCCACGTGGCAGCAGCTGGCTGGGGCCAGGGGGGCAGTGGGCGAGTGAACCGAGCCTATGTGGACAGTGCAATGGTTGCTCCCACAGGGCCTCTAACTGGGAGTGGGTGATGTCGTCAAGAAATGACTAAATAAACTGAAGCGTTACAAAACAAGAAGATCTCACTTGTACACTCCACATTAAAAATCGTGAGTTTACAGAGACACGCTAGCAGAGAACTACATCTGCTCAGGTTTCCTGATTAGGAGGGGAACGATTCCATTTTCTCCTTTGTGCTAGCATCCTGCTGGGGAGTGGGAACAGAAGGGAGGCAGGGCAGAGGGTGAGTAGACGGCGGGAAGGAAACCTATTTTCATTAGATACGGAGTCAAAGGAGCCATCTTTCCCTCACTCACAAGCCCTCTGAATGAAGAGGGAGATGCCGCAGGGCTGGCTGCTACTGACACATGAGAGGCTTTCCTGCTTACAGCCACCTCCTCGACATCTCTGGCTGCCTCCAGGACAGGCTTCCCTCTCCTGAAGGAACTGATACCATTACTGTTCAACTCTACTCATTCAACTTTCTATCTCTGCCCAACATATTCTTTCCTGCCTTTGGAGTAATAAGAACCATCGAGTCCAATCATACAACAATCCTTCAGAGATCTCTGTGCGTGCGTATGCAGCCATGTCTGACTCATTGTAACCCCATGGACTGTAGCCTGCCAGGCTCCTCAGTCCACAGGATTTCCCAGGCAAGAATACTGGAGCAGGCTGCTATTTCCTCCTCCAGGGGTTCTCCCCGACCCAGGGAGAACCTGCATCTCCTGCACTGGCAGACGGGGGTTCTTTACCACTAAGCCACCAGGGAAGCTCATCAGAGATCTGAGGAGTTAGCATGTCTTCCTAAGTATCCTTATCGAATCCCCTTCATCCACAGTGTCTCCTCCCATTCTTAGGCACAAGGCTAGGATGTGTATTTACATTTAATATTATTGCAGCTATCTTCCCTGAACCAGGCTAGAGCTTCCATGAATGTTATAATGGCTGGGCTTTGGAGAAAGGTAAGGATCCTCAAGGCAGCTGTGACTTTTTCCTACAACTACTTTACACTGACAGTGTTTCTGGGACTTTTTTTTTTTTTTAATCAAGTTGGCCTTAGAGACACGCAGAGTTGGATATTTTGATTTCAACCTTATTCACGGCCTCCACGAGGGCTTCCATTTCCTTCTCAATATCGCTGACAAACTTTAAGTCTTTCCTGAAATGAGAAATAGCCATAGTTAATTTCATTTGTGTCTGCTCTTTTGAGAATCCCTTCCATCCACCCTCTGCCTATACAGCGCAGACAGTGGACAATGGGGGCAGGAAAACTGCAGAGGCCAGGCAGGAACTATCAGATAACAGAAGGCTGAATGTGACGGAACAAAGGAAAAAAAGTAATAAGAAAACAATTATGAGAAGAGAGAAGACAGAAAACGAAACAGTCATCAGAGGGCCAGGAGACAAGAGGAAAATAAGACCGTTACCACCCAAATGAGGACCACCCATGTGAGGACCACCCATGTGACGGAGACCTGGATGGGCAGAGGTGGAACGTAGCCAGAGACCCTTCACTGCAAGCCAGTCCAACCCTTGGAGGGGCCCACCTCCTATCACAGGGGCCACACACACACACACACTTCCTAAGTTCAACTCTTCAATGGGACAGTTTTGAGAAACCAAGAGAATGACTTATTAAATACCATATAATCTCTTATAATATATAAATATACAAACTGGCTCAACCACAGAGGACTGCATATCTTAAAAGAGCAAACATTTGGTAAGCCACACGTAAGGAAGTAGGTATCAAGTCACATACCTAGCATCTTCCTTCAAACTGTCACTGAATTTTGACCCTGAAGAACGTACGTTGAAAGGATCAGAATCATCACTGATATGAAATGCCTCTGCTAACCTCCTGAAAGAGAGTGAAGTATGTAAATGAAAGGAAAGGAGGGGGAGGAAAATTATCTCATAGTAACAGTGTACCCACCAGGTTCTACGTTTTTTTTTATACATTAATCATCTCATTTCAGTAAACCTGATTATTCAGGAGAATAAGAACAACTTGGGACAAGATACCAAATTGTCTTCACAGAACAAAACAAGTAAGACAGATTTAGATGGTTCTGAGCAAGCTATAGGCTGACACTAGAGACTTAAGACTGTCTCGTGAAGAGAAGGCTGAGCGAGGGCACGCACTGGGGATGGTTAGTGGGATATATTTCCTCTGAGGTTTCACCTGAACATCAGACGAATAATGTAGAAAGATAATACTAAAATTAACATCAGTCTACAGAAAGTCTACAAAATAAAGAATTCCATTAACAACATAAGCGCTGCGTTAATTTTAATGTGCTTCCTTTTATATTTTTCTTCTGTAATTTTAAGTAGTACATGAAACTCTGAATCTTTTTTAGCATTTCTCATATTACTGTTTGATTTTCACACTCCCTGTGTTTTAACAGCTGCGTAATCTTCTAATTTTATATGTCCCACAATTTACATAAGCATTCCCCATTTAGGTTCCTTTAAGAGTCCCCCAGTTTTTGAATATTATAAGTAGCACAATATCTCCGAGCAAAAACCTTTTAGGATTATTTCTCTGGAAAATGTTTCCAGGTGTGGCATAACTGCATTAAATAGTATGGACCTGAGACCCAGATCATCAAGGTCTAAGGGTTCCAACAATGCTGTTTGTGCTTTGACCAGGAGTTGTATGAGTCTCGTGGCTTCTCACCAATACCTGGTTATGTCCTTTTTTTAAGATAGTTAAAATTCAATTCAGCATTTATAGTTTTCCTTTACAAGGAGACAGGGATCTCTTACAAGCTTAATGCCCATAAGAATTTGATTTATTATTGCTAGGTTTTCTAATTTTTTACCAGCAGTTTCAGTTCAGTTCAGTTCAGTTGCTCAGTTGTGTCCAACTCTTTGTGACCCCATGAACCGCAGCACGCCAGGCCTCCTTGTCCATCACCAACTCCCAGAGTCCACCCAAACCCATGTCCATCGAGTCAATGATGCCATCCAACCATCTCATCCTCTGTTATCCCCTTCTCCTCCTGCCCTCAATCTTTCCCAGCATCAGGGTCTTTTCAAATGAGTCAACTCTTCGCATCAGGTGGCCAAGGTATTGGAGTTTCAGCTTCAACATCAGTCCTTCCAATGAATACCCAGGACTGATCTCCTTTAGGATGGACTGGTTGGATCTCCTTGCAGTCCAAGGGACTCTCAAGAGTCTTCTCCAACACCACAGTTCAAAAGCATCAATTCTTCGGTGCTCAGCTTTCTTCACAGTCCAACTCTCACATCCATACATGACCACTGGAAAAACCATAGCTTTGACTAGACCAGTGGTTTAGTTTTCAAATTTTCAAGAGAATTCCTAGAGGGGGAGATCTTTTGATGCTTTGACTAGTTGGCCACTAATTCAAACGTACACACCAATAAAACATAACTGTGGGGTGAATTTGGTCTGCCAGTTTTCCATTTCTGCAATGGAGCATGTATTTGCAACTTTAGATGGCATTTTCCTTTTCAAATTCACATGTCTCTCTCTTTTTTTTTTTAGGTCTGTGAGTAAGAAAGAATCCTTATATAGTGAGGGTCATTATGTCATTGTTCAAAGATTGAGGAGAAATTCAAAAGGCTTTCAGAAATAGCTAGTTCTAATCAATAACTTTCATTTACTGAGCATCTACTATGTATTAGGCTTGTGCCAAGAGTTTTATGTATATCATCATTAGTTTTAATGTATTAATCCTCAAAACAACTCAGGGAGATAGATACTATTATTATCACTCACTATTCACAGATACTTGGGAAAATTAAAGCTGAGAGAGATAATGTGTTTTGTCCAAGGTCACACAGCTATGTGAGTGAAGCTAAGATTCAATTCTGGGCAATCTAACTCTACAGCTATGGTTGGCTCTCACTGCTGTGCAATACTGTCTCAACTACACAAAGGTGCATTTCCGTGTTTTGGAGGCCTTCTATGCATTCACTACAGCATTTCTGAAATCTCTGGACTGCAGCAGAGAACAATGTGACAGTTCTTAAAGGACAAGAGTTTTGAACAGCAATTATTACAAAGTTACCATAAGGGTCAAATCAAAGGAAATTTGGGCAGTGCTATTAATCATATTACAGTCTACACATTTAGTCACCTAAAAAGGTATTGTTAACAATTGCTCAAAGTTGCACTTCTAGGTAAAACAAGACTGCATTTGTCTGCGTTTATCTGTTTCTGCTTACCTCTGTCTTGAAAAAATTTCAAAGAATGGTTAAGTTACAAGAATATTACAATGGGACTTCCTTAGTGGTCCAGAGCAGCTTCAAATCTGGTCTGGGAAGATGCCATATGCGGGGCAACTAAGCTTGAGGACCACAACTACTGAAGCCTGAGGCCTGCACACTCTAGAGACCATGCTCTGCAACGCGAGTCCATGCTGCGCAGCTGCCTGCCGCAACCAGAGGAAGCCACAGACAGCAACGACGGCCCAGCGCGGCCGAAAAGGGCCAACACACTCCTACAGGCTCTTCACCTAAACTCTCCAAATACAAACATTTTCATGGAACTATAAACTTTAATCTCTGCTGGAACTAGAAAGTCTGTCAGGCACTGAACAAAAAAAGCCTCTTAATCTGATAAAGAATATACTCAAATAGCTTACAACAGACATCATAGATAGTGGTGAAATATCTATTATCACTACCTTCTATTCAATACTGTACTGGAGGCCTAGCCAGTGTGATATGGCAAGAAAAAGAAAAAAGTTAAGAATTAGAAATAAATTATAAGAGGACATGATTGTGTACATGCAAAATCCAAAAGAAGCTACAGATAAACTATTGGAAATAAGTAATTTAGCAAGGTTGTGAATACTTGTCAACAAATATCAATTGTAGTCCTACATGCCAGCAACAAGCAATTAGAGAATTAAAATTTAAAAGTGGTAACAAGGAAAAAATACCATTTATAATAGCATCAAAAAACATCATACAGCAAGGAACAAATCTAAAGATGTACAAAATCTATATACAGAAAACTATAAAAATATCATTGAAAGAAAACATGACTAAATATAAGGATATACTTTGCTCATGGACCAGAGGCCTCAATATCACAAAGTATCAAATCTTCCCAAACTGATCTATAAATACCAGCTCAGTCAAAATCCCAGGTTTTTTTTTTTTGCAGATATTGATAACCTATTTCTAAAATTAAAAGGAAATGCAAATGGCCAAGAATAGCCAAGACAATCCTGAAGAAGGACCGTGTTTGAAGAGATACGCTACCACTTAAGACTTGTTATAAAGGTACAGTAGTTCAGATAATGTGATACTCACACAATGGAACAGAATGAACTTGGAATAACCCATACGCAACATGACTACCTGCTTTAAGACAAAGGCACTGCAGCGAACTGAGAAAAGGATTTCTTGATAAACGATATTGGGTCAAGAGAACATTTGTTTGGGGAAAAAAAAAGGAATCATGAACCCTCCTTATACTATGATTAAAAAAAAAAAAATAGGTCCAAGTCAACTATAGTTCTAAATGTGAAAGGTAAAATACCATTATGGCCTCAGGATAGACAGATACTTCTTAAACAAGCTATAAAATGTACTAAGGAAAAGACTGATAAACTGAACAACATTAAAAATTAGAAATGTCTATTTATTAAGACACCATTTGGAGACTGAAAAGTGAATGCACAGGGTGTGAGAAACAGCAATATACGAAACAGGCCTTCCCTGGTGGTACCGTAGACAGGAATTTGCCTGCCAATGCAGCGGACATGGGCTCAATCCTTGGTCTGGGAAGATTCCACATGCCTCAGAGCAACTAAGCCCTTGAGCCACAATTACCAAGCCTGTGCTCTAGAGCTTGTGAGCTGCAACTACTGAAACCATGTGCCTAGAGCCTGTGTTCCCTAACAAGAGAAGCTACTGCAATGAGAAATACATGCACTGCAACAAACTTATTCTTACTCAATGAACAGTAGCCCCCGCTAGCCACAGCTCAAAGCTCACAAGCAACAATGAAGACCCAGCACAACCAAAAATAAATAAATTTTTCAAAGGAGAATAAATTTATTAAAAAAAATATATATATATAAAAAGGTGGTGGTTTAGTTGCTAAGTCATGACCGACTCTTGCGACCCCATGGACTGTAGCCCACTAGGCTCCTCTGTCCATGGGATTTCCCAAGCAAGAATACCGGAGAGGGTTGCTATTTTCTTCTCAAATAAAACAAAGGACTCATATCTAAAATATGAAAGAATTCTTAGTAATCAGTATGAAAAAGTCAGATGATACAATTAAAAAATAAGCAAAGACTTGAACTGGTACTTCACAAAAGATATCCAAATGGCCAATAAACATATGAAAAGGTGTTCAACCTCACCAGTCATCAGAGAAACATAAATTAAAAGCTCAGTGATATCCAGTTATACATCTACAAAAATGGATTAAAGGTTAAAAGACTGACAATTCCAAGTGCTGACACAAACAGAGCACAGTGGGAAATATGACCCTGTTCATGGGAGTATAACTCGGTACAACCATTTTGAACACTGGCAGAATCAACAGAAGCTGAAAATATGCATACCTTATTAATCAGCAATTCTACTCCTGAGTTTATTATCCAACAGGAATGAGTACATATATACAGCAAAGCTAATACAAGGATGTTCTTTACAGAGCATTATTTGTAATAGCCCAATACCAATAACGACACATGTAATCTATTAACTAGAGAATAGATAAGTGATGATACATTACTAAAATAAAATAAATATTGTTCAGGAATGAAAACAAACAAAATACTGCTACATGCAACAAAAGGAGTATCACAAATATAATGTAAGAAACCAGACAAAAATACCACCCACAGGATTTCATTATTTAAAGTCCAAAAACACACAAAATAATCTAAAATGTCAGGAGTCAGGATACAGGTTGTATCTAGTAGAGTGTTAAGAACAGGTTCTGGAAACTTTCAATATCTTGACCTCATTGCTGATTACACCAATGTATTCACTTCGTGATGACTCACTGATCTGTATAGTTTTGATCTATATGTATGCAACATAAAAGTTCATTAAAAGAATTTTAAGCCTCTTATCTCCATTGGAATCAGGAAGTCTGCCAGTCCCTGAATTAGTATGCTGTGGGGCATGTAATGTTTATACTTGCCTGAAACCACTTAAGCTCATGTTTCAGAAACACACTGAGATCACCTAACTGGTTTATCCTTAGGCACTTCAATTCTTGATGACTGAATTTCTCCTGCTCTCCAATAGCAGCAAAAGACTCAGAGCAGGTGCTGAATGAATGCTTGAAGGGTTGCTCTGTCCCACTAACTTCACAGAGCTCAAAGACAGATAAATTGTAGTTCAAACTACTTACTTTTTCCTTTCCAAGGCTGAACATTCCTCATCACACTCCAGCCTTGAGAAACAAAGAAAAAATTAAAGTTAGAGTGCAGGTTTCACAGTTCCTACTCTGAGTAGCTCAGTTGGTAAAGAATCTGCCTGCAATGCAGGAGACTGGGGTTCGATTCCTGGGTCAGGAAGATCTCCTGGAGAAGGAAATGGCAACCCACTCCAGTATTCTTGCCTGGTGAATCCCAAGGACAGAGGAGCCTGGCAGGCTACAGTCCATGGAGTCACAAGTGTCGGACATGACTTAGTGACTAAACCACCATCACCACTCAGCAATAAGTTCTTGAATGGTCACCCTAGAGACTGAGCATACTCTGACCAAACAATGGCTGGATGAGGTCCCTCTCAAGGACAGGTGGGCAGGCCTTCGAAAGACTTCAGTGTCCTGAGGCTGCTCAGCCCCCAAAATGCTCCCAGGAGCCCTCTGACAGCCCCATCTCCCTCTCTTGACACAGCCACCTGTCTGTTCTCTTGTAGGTTAAAATGTACATGCCCAGGTCTCTGCTTTCTCTGGCTACTATCTGGAGTGAGGCCCAGAAACGCTTCCTCTGGTCTTAGCTGTGTCCTGAGTAGGATTCACTGCACTGGAGTGGCTGTGGCCTCTTAATGTCAGAGGTCTGTTGAATACTGTGTGTGTAAGGCTTTACTGCTGGGGACTGACACAAGTGAATGGTTCCTGACCTCTTGAAATTAAGTCTAATGCAAGAAAGAAGGCACAATTACACATTTTTAAAATTACCTGGCTTGGTGAATTTCCTTCTTAGTAATCAACTTGCTGATCTCCACTGAATCTCCAAGCTGCATGTCTGTTATTTTGGAGGCCATGGAAATAGCAGCTATTCTGAAGTAAAAAACATAAAGGGAAGAAAGGCACTGCAGTTTCACAAGAATCTCCTCATGCCAGGCACACAAAATACGTCTTTCAAGAAAAATCTACCTCCTGACAATCTGTGTAGCCTTGGAAGCCTATTTATTGTAACTATCCACACATTTACGTGGTATCTCAGTTAGTCTAAACAGCTCCATAGGAAATGAGGCAATCAATTTCTTAGCACTCCCTTGAACATCTGAGCCAATGCCCGGGACTCAGTGGGTATTCACAGTCAATCTGATGTTGCACACTCCTGAAGTCCCACCTCTCTGACACATCTATGCATCTCTGCATCTCCAAGTTGTTATCTCTGCATCTATTTGTCCATCCTAAAATCTACACCCCTGTACTCAGATCCCCATGTGACCACACAGGTCCCAAGATTTCAGGAGGCTGCAAAGACAACCCACATAACAGCCAGAAACCCCCACACTCCAGTAGGAGCAGAGGGCCGGCTGTGCCACCACAAATGGTGGGACATGAAAGCAATTCATGCAACCTCAGGACATCTTCCCTTCTGATCTCATGGTGAAAGAGGACCAGAGGTAGAGAGAGAGGAAGGAGGAGGAGAAATAAAATGGTTTACAAATTAAGGTTAGGGAAGGTAATGAGGTACATAAAGCAGTACTTTTTCTTTGAACCTGAAAAACTAGACTCAAAATTTATTTAAAAAACTGTCCTTAAAAGTTGCAAAGATCCTATAATAAACTCCTGTATATCCTTTACCTAGATCTGCCGATTGTTAACATTTAAGCAGCACTAACCTTTGATAAGTACTGGATGCTTCTGAGCAAACCATGATTTCCTTTCTTCGTCCACACTCACACTGCAGCTCTATCTGAAATAAGATGAACGTGGAGCAGCTTTCAGCCCACGGAAAACATGTGAATGGGCAGGTTTCATTCATAAAGCCTCTCTTGAATCAAACCTTGGCAGAGAACAGAGAGACAGGGAAAGGCTCCTCTCCAAGATGGAGGAGCTAACCACACACAAACTGGCAACGTGGTGGCTGACATTCTAGGAGGGAAGTGCCAGGTTTATGTGCCCCTTACAGGGCATTATCCCTGTCCTTAATCCTGCCTGAAGGGGCAGGCCTAGAATGAAGTTTCTACCACCAAACCAGAGGGAGACACTTTCACCTTCCACTTTCACCTCCTCGGGGAAGACCTTGCTCCATCTCTCAGAACAGTTAAGTCCCCCACTCACGTGTCCCTGTGGAACCCCTGCAAGGGTGTAACTACTTCACAACCCTTACCAGAGTCATAGGTAATTACCTGAATAACTAGTTAGTATCTGTCCATCTGATTAATAGAACCATGTGTCTCCTGTTCACTGGTAGACCTCCAGCATCTATATAGCATAACATCTTCTACAAAACAGACACTTAAATACTTGTTGAATGAATGGAGTGGGCAATCAAGAGTCTCTCTTGAGAATTCAATCAAAGGGAGACAGAGACTGGTCAGGGGGCAGTGGGTACTTTCTGAACTAAAAGGCCATCTCAAGCTTGGCAGACAGAAGTCCACCTTTCTCTGTTAATTTGCAGTTCCTTGTAACCAACGACCCCGGATTGGGATGTGTGCTTTAGTGCCACTGCAGGCAGTCCTAGACTCATCAGCAGCACCAGGACCGCAGCCAACACCCCACCTGGAGCCAGTACTACGCACCTTGGCCTTGCAGGCGGTCACTGGGCAGGGCAAGCTGAGGTGGCAGGGCGCCATGCACGGGTGGCCACAGTCGGCTCTGGAGGCGGTGCAGGGCTGCTTGCAGACCTCGTCGCCCAGACATTCTCCTTTGTGACAGAGCCTCTGACACCTGTGCATCCCACACGGCAGCGTGGCGCCGCAGGGCAGTCCACAAGAGATATCCACCAGGTGACAGGGAATGTTGCTTCGTAACTAGGAGAGAAGTAGCCGGGTTCTCATCTCCATTCAGGATCTGGGGTGGGTTTCAACTTCCTACTTACATTTCGGAACTTTCACAATCAGTATATTTTAAAAAAAACTTTTTTTTTTTTAAATCAGGCTGATTTTTTTAAAAAAAATTTAAAATCAGGCTGATTTTTAAAGGCTGAAAGGTTAGTTTGAAAAGAAAACAAACCTGAGCTTTATTTAATTATGCTTGTTACAGTTTGAAAGGATTTGTTTAAGAAGTGTGACTTGCAACATAAACTTCCCAAGGTGAGTAACAGGCATGTGAAACCAGATAACTAGGGAGGATCTGAAAATGCTATGACTAACTGGGAGGGTCAGGGGATCTTCTACCTCTGCAAACAGCTAGGGCACTGAGTTGACAGAAACCCCAGGGGTGGGGGCACCCTTGGCTCATGGTTTCCGGACTGCTGGCAGGGCAGTTTTATGTAATTAAATACTCAGCTCTCCTCACATCTCCCAACCCCTGGTCTCCATAGTTTTAGATAGCTCTGTCATTAAAAAAAATTAAGAGGCAACAGGCCATGGAAACTCAAAGTCATTTTTTCTTGAGAAACTGCCTTCCCCCAGGATTCCTCACTGTAGGAAAAAGATGCTGGGATTTTACTCCTGTGGGACCAAAGACTACTCTCATGTACTTGCTCAAAGTCTTTTAAGAACCCTCAAAGAGGGGAGTATACTTCGACTCTGATGAGGCATAACCTTTAATCTTGAAGAGGGCCCCGGAGTCTAGTACATACCTGCTTTGGATTCGGTATTTTGGTGGAAGGTATTCCCAGTCACTAAACACTCCCTTACTTTACCACTGGGATAGTTCATGCACACGCTGGGCCCTATGCTGCTCGCGCCCACATTACCTGCCTATCTTCTCAGCATCCTTGAGGAGGTTGCTTATGTTACTTCCTCCAGGAACACCTTCCCTGGGTAGGGGTCCCTTCAGTGCCCTGTACTTCCCACACGGCTGCACCTATAATCAACTGCTCATTCATCTGCTCTCCGCCCCACAGTGAAGGCTCCACCAGGGCAGGGCCAGCCCGTGTTTCATTTCTCAATCACCTGAACCCAGCCAGTTACCTAGTACAGAGCAGGCAAGCAGTAAATATTTGCTGACTGAAGTCCAACAACACAAAGATAACACATGGATCTCTTAGAATGGTTAAGAGGAAGTAAGATTTCTCAGAGGAAGAATAAATACTAAGGATTATGACTTGAGAATCTCTGACAGGAAATAAGTGGAGAAAAATATGTCCATCAAGATAAGAATACTGAAAACATGTTGTCACAGCTGTCAAGAGTTTCAAGAAAGGTTGGACAACATGTTACGAAGTAAAAAAAGCAGGTTACAAAACAGTATAGTCTTCATAGAGTAGAGGAGAATATGTAACACACTGCCTGAAGTCTATACACTAGAATGTTTAAAAGTATTTCTTTCTGGGTAGCAAAGCTATATTAACAGTCTACGATGAATATGCCTTTTTAAAATTAAAGAAATTTAAAAACAGTTTCAAAGGGTCTATAGTCAGCAGTGCCAAATACAGCTTAGATGCTAAGAATAAGGGTGAAAATCCTTCACGGTAGTGGCAGTGGGGAGGGGCAGGTTAGTGGGGAGGAAGGTGTTTGGCCCATCAGCAGGATGGAAATCTGTGAAGGGAGTAGAGAGCAGGATCGGTGGTAACTGGCAGGGAGCCCACCTGCACTCTTGGGATATTCTCACTGTAACCCTTTTCCCCAGACTGGCGACCCCTCCCCATGCTAGCTAACCTGGACGCTGTCTCTGAACACAGCTCATGTTCTCAGGGCCTACTGGCTGAGTCTCATTTCACTGTAACAGGATTAAAAATGAGAGCAGAATAGTCTAACAATGCTACTGACCGCATGGTTCCATTTATGTGGCCTCGTGAAAAGGCAACGGACTTTGTTAGGGCAGACAACACATAACTGGTTACCGGGGCTGGAGAAAAGTGGAGAGTAATTCTCAAGGGACATGAAGGAGTGTTTGGGGGTGAATGACCTGTTCCACATCTTGACTGTGGTGGTGGTGACATGACTGTATGACTGCTTTTGTCAAAACTCATAGACTTGCATGCTAAAAAGGGTAAATTTCATTTTATGCAAACTATACCTCAATGATAAAAAAAGAAAAAACAAGTGGCAATAGCAAATCTCTGCTTCTTTGGAGCATATTCACTTTGAGAAACAATGAGGCTAATCCTCTTAACGAAATCCAACAACCTCTGGTTGGAACAATGAACAACTTGAGAGAAAGCTTACCTCATGTTTGCCCATGCACCACTTCTGCGTGAGGAAAGTACAAGGAGGACACTTGTCCTCACTATGACAAGAATGGTACACTGGGGAGAGAGAGGCAAAATCAGGAATGATGTTCAAACAGCGTCACACCAACTATTACACATACTGTAATAGCATTTGACATGAACTTTTAAATTTAGGAGCTGGAAGTACTTTTTAAAATGGTCACTGGAAAGTAAAAGTAGTTCGCTTTATATTAAAGGGCTGAAAGATGAGCATGAGAGAAAGAAACCCAGCTGAGGGTGGAGAGACACAGAAGCAGAGAAGGGGTCAGTTGGTCCACCCCGTCTCCTGCAGCATGGCCACATGGTCTGTGCACATTCCTCAGTCATGTTTGTGGTCCTAACGGCACACAGCTCCCTTCTGTTCAGACATCTTTGTTACTTGTCTCATCTAACATGCTTCCTCTGACTCCTTTCGATTTCTTTACTGCCTGGAAGAGGCAGTTCATTCAAACTCATCCCCTACAGCGAAGCCTTTTGTGGCTGACCCCTCCCTGCCCTGAGCTCTCTTGCTCTCCCTGACCCCTTGGTTCTGAGGCAGATGGCTTGCTGCCATGCTATCTGCCCCATCTTTATGCAATGGCTGGTTGTGGCAAATGTACTCAACTGTCACCTTCTTCCTCCCAGAAACAACAGAGCCCCGTCCAGGTCCTGGGCTATTGTTTTCTTCCTCTGAACCTCCTTTTATGTCTGATATCATGCTGGATATACAACAAATGCCCAAGAAACATGAATGCTGAATGAAAGCAGGCTAAAACAAAACAAGTCACAAATGGCTAAGTTCTCTCTATGCACCTGGACTTCATCCTAACATCTGCAAGTGACTGTAAAGAAGTGAGTGCGAGTGAGTGTGCTGACTGCCTGCCTGAATACTAACTTCACAGTGGCAGACACCACTCGCAAACCAGGCAGGGAGGGTCATCTTAAGGTCTCCAGGGAAGGGGGGTCTCTCATTTCATAAGGAATTTACTTAATTCTTCTTCACTCTTTAAAAAATTAAGAACTGGTTGTTTTGTCAGTCTCAATCATGTGGCCAGATTTATTGTAAGGATCAAATCTGATGACTTAAGTTATGTCAGGTTTGCCTCTGGGACGTGACAAAAAAGGAAATGATGGGCTAGATACAGTTCAGGGGAAAGCCAGTGACTAGACTGTACGGAAAGTGGGTGATGCCAAGTAGCTACTGGTCTGGTGTCTACAGCAGTCTATCACAGGAAAACTGGAAACAAACGTCCAGCAATATGAGGCTGACTGAATCAGTTATGGCCTATCCATGTAACAGGACACCCCACTGTCATCTAGAAGAATATTTATTGATAAGGAGACAGATTAAAATTACAGTAATAAGAGAGAAAAAATCTATTAACTTAAAATAAGTTCAATAAAATCCCACTTTTATTTTAAGGAAAAAATGCAAATATATATTTTTACCCATGGAAAAAGGCCCTAAAAAATCACCAGGCAAGAATACTAGAGTGGGTTGCCATGCCCTTTCTCCAGGGGATCTTCCCGACCCAGAGACTGAACCCAGGTCTCCCGTGCTGCAGGCAGATTCTTTACCGTCTGAGGCACCAGGGAAGTCCGAAAAATACACAGTGAAGCATAATTCCTAAAAGGTTACGTAAGATTTAATTTCAATCTTTTGATTTTACTTTTCTTTCTTTCTTTTTATATATGTTGCATCTACAACAAAACTGAAGTTACTTTTAATTTTATAAAAAGATGCTTAACTTTGAAATATGCACCAAAAGTGGAGGCCACAAAAAGGAAGACAAGACTAGCGAGGGCTTCTCCCGACATTCTGGGTGTGTGTGACACCCACAGGGTAAAGCAATGAAAAGCACTGTGATTCCCAGCTGTGGCCCAGATCACAGACCCATCTTCACAGATGCAGCCCTGAGCACAGGGCAAGGAGCAGCCATGACAGTGTGACCTGAAAGCAGGGAAAACTATCACGTGCTGGGCTAAGTCTCTCAGTCGTGTCTGACTCTTTGCGACCCCATGGACTGCAGCCCACCAGGCTCTTCTGTCTATGGGATTCTCCAGGCAAGAATACTGGAGTGGGTTGCCAAGCCCTCCTCCAAGGAATCTTCCCCACCCAGGGATCGAACCCATGGCTCCTGTGTTGCAGATAAGATTCTTTACTGCTGAGCCACCAGGGAAGCCCTGAAGACCATCATGCAACTCCTAAAACCTCAGTGTGAGCAGGCTGTGAGGTGTGGAGGCAAGCAGATGGGACTCACCTGGATGGTCACATTCATGGACTCTGGCACAGGTCTGGGTACACTCAGGGGGCCTGGTGCCACAGGGAACTGGCGGGTAGATCACTGATGCACCACAGTGGCAGGTTAATTCATCAAAACCTGGTGAAGCAGCAGGTGAAACAAACCTTCATGAGTTTGAGATTTGCACACAGATAACTACAAACACACTTTTTCTGCGGGGGGTGGGCTTGTATTTTTAAAGGCTAATTTTTAGGGGCTGCCTTTTCTTAAAAAAAAAAAAAGAGGTTTTTATTTTATTAAAGTTGTCTGGTAGTGAAGCATTCAATTTTTACTTGCAACAAACTTTTAAGTCCATGAGTATCCGAGACATTTTTACATGCATTTTATACACAAATGACCTACAGAAGACTTCCACTAGAGATACAGATCCTTTTTCCCCCTAACTTTTTGGTTAGGAAAATGGATAGAGATTACGAAAGCCACAGATAGTTAACTTCAGCAAACTCACAGGGGACTGCCAACAAGCAGCTGACTGTGTCATGAGCTCTCCTAACCCTCAGACCCATAGGGAAGTTAGTTCAACTCTGGTCCAAGGTGGAGGCTGGGTCTTTGGCCATGGTACTCAACTAGGGACCAAGAGTCAGAAGCCCAGGCCCTCCAGCACTCCTCCATTCAATGCTTTTCTCCAGTCAATACCTGAGGCTATATAATGTGGTGGAAAGGGTCCTATAAATACAGTGGGAAATCGAGGCTTCTAGACCCGAACCTACTTCTCACTTGCACAAGGACTGTAGGCAGGTAACTTAACACCTCTGAGATTTCTTCCTTCTGGTCAAAAGCGGATACAAACCTTTGACCTACCTACTTGGAAAGCACATTGTGGGCAAGGGCTAATAAATGTGAAACAGCTAGGTAAAGAGTAAGAGGCTACATAACTTATCTTTATGGAACTCCATGTGTGGGGTTTATAATAAAGCACTGACTCAACTTCTTTTTGAAATATGGTAGATCTAGTATTTTCCAGAGAAGGTATGTTGGGGAACCGCGATCCAGGCTAATCTTTTAATGGAGCAGTTCTCAAAGCGTGCTCTGTTGAGCCCTATGACTCCAGAGTCCAGGAGGTCAGTTGTTTTCGTAATAATACTTAGATGCTATTTGCTTTTTTCCCTGTGCTGACACTTACACTGAGGATACATAAGCAACTGTTGGAAATGCTGCCCAAGGCAATCACGAAAATCAAGGCAGCAGCACCACACTACAACCACTTTATTTTCACTGCCAAACAAGCACACAGAAAATGCAAGGTTCACTTAAGTCCTTGATGAAGAAGTAAAAAAAAAAAAAAAACCCTTAAGTACATGTCTTTCTAATATTCTGTGGAACAAACTAGGATATCGGCTTAAAGCACTTTTGTTGCACACAAAAATACAGTCATCCTCAATGTTCTGGGTGGGGAGGGGGGCTGGTTCCAGGACTCCCATGGATACCAAAATCTAAGAATGCTCAAGTCCCTTATATAATATGGTACAGTACTTGCATATGACCTATGCACATCCTCCTGTGTACTTTTTTTTGGGGGGGGGGGCTATAATTTTGGATTTCAGAAAAGCTGTTGACATTATCTTGTAAAGTTAGATGCCTACATGCCCTGAAAAGCAATAATTCTACCCTTATGAACAAATTTTAGAAAAATTATTACATAAGTGTACAAGAAGACACATGCAAAAGGTTCACAATAGCAACACTAACAGTAAAAAAATGCTGGAAGCTACACAAATGTCCTTTGACAAAGGAACAGATCAATAAATGATGTTATATTTACTGAATTAAACATTACAAAGCAGTGAAGATGTATGAAACCCAGCTATTTACAAAAATATGGATGCATCTTAAAATATAATGTTGAATAGAAATGTCCTATAAGACTAGATAAACATAGAACTATTTTTATGAGTTTCAACACAAGCACAATTGGATCATATACTGCTTTTGGCTTACACACATGTGTCAGAATAACGACATATATTGTTTTCTATAGTAGTGTAGAAACTACTACTATAAAGCTACTTAAATGGTCCAGCAGTTTTCTCCAGGAGAAAGCAGAGGATAGTCAAGTGTATACAGGTAGATGAAATTCACACTAACATTTAAGTTCTTAGGTTGCATAATGGCTCCCCTGTATATTTCAAATCATCTCTAGGTTACTTATAATATCCAATATAATATAAATGCTATGTAAACAGTTGCCAGCAGTTTTGTTTTTGGAACATTCCAGAATTTTTTCCCCTTGAATGTTTTCAACCCATGGTTGGTTGAGTGTATGGATGTGGAGCCCACAGATAGACAGCTGTCTGACCACTGGTCATTTTAAAGAACTGCACTTTTTTGAGTTCTGAGCTGAATTAACTTTTTTTCATAATACACCATTTTGCCTGAAAAAGTAACCAACACACTATGATTATTTAGACTTGGCTATCTTGGCAGATACTTAATCAAAAACTAACAGTGAGCCTGTCACTTCAAGAAAACCAACTTTGTTGCCAATGATAATATTCAAGCTTTCAAGTGAAAAAATTTTGGAAAATATGCACTTACCACTAAGACCTTGACAACTTCCTAATACTTTTCCCAAGACTTTTCTGATGAGATTGGTAGTATATTAAGGAATGTGAGTTTTTAATAGAACACAAACAGACCCATCTTAGAATCACTGCCCTACAACCCAAGATTAAGGGCCAACAGAGCAGCTACTTTTTTTGAAATCTCAACAGCTTTTCTGCCCACAGATTCCACGAGTAAGCACTGCTGAGTCTCCCCTTTCTTCTGCCATCAGGTCTCAGCCAGAGTCTCCCAAAGAGCCTGAACAGCTGTGGAAGCTCTTGATTGGAGGTCTGAGCTTTGAAACCACCAGTGAGAGTCTGAGGAGCCACTCTGAGCCACAGAAACGCTCACAGACTGTGGTAAGGAGGGATCCAAACACCAAGCACTCCAGAGGCTTTGGTTTGTCACATGCGCCTGTGGAGGGGGTGGATGCAGCCATGAGTGCAAGGCCGCACGCGGTGGATGGATGAGCTGTGGAACCCAAGAGGGCCGTCTCAAGAGAAGATTCTCAAAGACCTGGTGCCCACTCAACTGTGAAAAAGACTTTTGTTGGTGGCATTAAAGAAGATACTGAAGAACATCTCCTGAGAGATTATTTTGAACGGTATGGGGAAACTGAAGTGATTGAAATCAGGACTGACCAAGGCAGTGGCAAAGAGAGAGTTTGCTTCCATAACCTTTGATAACCATGACTCTAGACAAGACAGTCATTCAGAAACACCACGCTGTGAATGGTCACATCCGTGAAGTAAGGAAAGCCCTATCTAAGCAAGAGATGGCTAGTGTTTCATCCAGGCAAAGGTCGAAGTGGCTCTGGAGACTCTGGTGGTGGTTTTGGAGGCCGTCTTGGGGGGAACAACTCTGGTCGCGGAGGAAAACTTCAGTAGTGGAGGTGGCTTTGGTGGCAGCCGTGTTGGTGGTGGATATGGTGGCAGTGGGGATGGCTATAATAGATTCGATCATGATGGAAGCAATTCTGGAGGCGGCAGAGGCTACAGTGATTTTGGCAATTACAAGAATCAATCTTCAAAGTTTGGACCCATGAAAGAAGGGAACTTTGGAGGCAGCAGTTCTGGCCCCTATCGTGGCGGCAGCCAATCCTTAGCCAAACCATGAAACCAAGGTGGCTATGGTGGTTTCAACAGCAGCGGGAGCTGTAACAGTGCCAGGAGGTTTTGATTACTGCCAGGAAACAAACCTTAGCAGGGGAGGAGAGCCAGAGCCAGAGAAGTGGCAGGAAAGCTACAAGTTACAACAGATTTGTGAGCTCAGCCAAGCACAGTGGTGGCAGGGCCTAGCTGCAACAAACAAAACGTTTTAGATACTACTCATGTATATGGGCAAAAACCCCCAAGGACTGTATTTGTGACTAATTGTATAACAGGTTATTTTAGTTTCTGTTCTGTGGAAACTGTAAAGTACCCCAACAAAGGATTTTTTTTTTTCCCCAACAAAGGATTTTAATGCAGATTTTTTTTTTGCACCCATGCTGTTGATTGCTAAATGTAACAGTCTGATCGTGATGCTGAATAAATGTCTTTATAAAAAATATGCTGTGTGTAAAGCTAGTCTATTTTGAAGTCATTTTGGTAAACTACCCAAACAGTGTGAAGTTTGAATTCCTTTAGGGTGATGCCAGGTTCCATTAGAGATTTATTTACAACTGGCTTGGGTGGAGAAGCCATTATCTTCAGAAACCTTGGTGTAAGTGAACTGACAGTTACTGTTTTGTGACCTGGAGTTGGTAATGGAGTTTTTTGGTTATTAATATGATTGTTGGTACATCCAATGTAATATGTCTAAACTGAATTATGGCACCAGATAGTTCTGGATGGGAATGAAGCTTATGTATCATCCATTATCATGTATAATCAATAAAAGATTTAATACTCTCTTAAAAAAAAAAAACAAGGTTTCAATATACCTGAAATACGAAGGCTTATTAATTCAGGAGTCTAAGAAAGTTGACCGCCCAGGATCTATCAGGCCTGACTTTCTAGAAAACTCTTATGATGAAGTATACAGTGATGACACTCACTAGCTTGCCAGCACGTCTGGCAGTTTCCACGATGACAAGGTTCTTCACATCTATGAAGGCCACAGCGGAGTTTCCTCCCACAAATCAAAGGACACTTGTGCTCCTTATCCTAGGAAGAGAGGTTCATACATACATATTTTTTTTGCATGCTAGGATCTTAGTTTCTCGACCAGGGATAGAACCTGTGCCCCCAGGAATGGAGTCCTAACCACTAGACTGCCAGGGAATTCCTAAGGGATTTATTTATATTTGCTTATAAAATTATCTCCATTTTACGTTTTCCATAAACAAGATTAACAAAGAAGCTCTCCACAATTACAGATTGCATGAGGTCTGAAGTATTAGCTTTAAAATAATCAGGGGAGGGGTAGTAGGTGGGGATGTGGATGAAGCAACATTAGTCATGAGCTGATCACTACTGAAGACAGATGTTGGGCATATATGACACACACTTCCCTCAGCTTTTATATATGTCTGCAGTATTCAATAAGAAGTCTTTAAACTTTCAAACACTGGCTTATAAATAGGTCTTTATCACTCTCCACACTGTCAATATACATGCCAAAAATAACAATTATGTATTACATATATATACACGAGTGTATATACATGTACTTTACCATTAGTATACTGTGTTACCTTGTTCACACACACAAACACACAGTACCCACTGCCAGGTAATGCTTCCTCTATTTAGTTTCACAGACGTTATTATTTCAGATAACTGAAACTTGTTCCTTTAAAAACAGCCACTCTCATTTTGCCCACTGATCTGACCCAAGGAATATATGAAACTTGAATCCTGAGTTCAAGCGAGTCTGTGTGCGGTGACAGTACACAGTCTCCTGCAGATGACTACACACTCATCCAGCGGTCTTGGGCTCTGGGGCCTGAGGCCCTTTTTCTTCTTTCCCTTCCTCCATGGAGCCATAGGCCAACTTCCTGACCTGGCTGAGGACTAAAAAGGCCCAGCCTGTCTCTCTGGCAGCATTCTGACTGGTGCTCAGGGGCCTCTCCCAGTGATTTCCAAATCTGGGCTGCATTCTTAGACGGCTGAGGCTTCCAGAAACCCAGTCCCTGGATGAATGTAATCTGACTGTACCTAATGATCGATCCACTTACCACACAGCATATCTCATTACATTTATGCCGTCCACATAACCGTTTCTTGTTACACCTCTTGTCGCACATAAATGTAGCATCTGCTATGAACAATTAAGAAGAAAAAAAAGTTAAAGTATATGAACATTCATTCAACAAATATCTGTGTGACTGCAAGCTGAAGAAATACAAATGTAACAATGTAAACGAATTAGTTATGGTGAAAGTACATATTTAACAAGTACATATATTGACAATGTACATAAGACAAGTACATATTTCACTTGTCAGTCAAAAAAATAGAAAACAGGAAGACTATTCAAGTGTCCATTGATAGATGAATGGATAAAGAAGATGTGGAATATATGCAGTGGACTATTACTCAGTCATTAAAAAAATCTTGCCATTTTTGACAACATGGATGATTCCAGAACATAGTTACACTAAATGAAATAAGACAAATACTGTATGAGTTCATTTATATGTGGCAACTAATGAACATAACAAAACAGAAATAGTATAGATACAGACAAAAAACAGATGGTTGCGAGAGAAGGGTGGGGTGAAGAAAGCAAATAGGTGAGTGAGATTAAGAGAAACTTCCAGTTACAAAAGGAATGATTCATGGCTATTAAATGTACAATGTAGGGAATATAGTCAATAACTAAGTAATATCTTTGTAGGGGGACATACTAAAACTAGACTTATTGTGGCAATCATTTTGAAATGTATAGAAAAAACACTACGTTGTGTGTAAAAGGCACTAACATAGTATTGCAGGTATATTTCAAAAACAAACTCATAAAGGAGTTCCTATTTGTGGTTATCAGAGGCAGGAGGTGAGGGAGGCAGAATTGGATGAAGGGAGTCAAAAGGTACAAACTGCCAGCTACAAGATACATAAGTGTTAGGGAAGTGATGCATAACATGATGAACAGAATTAACACTGTCGTATATTATATACGAAAGTCATTAAAGAGCAAATCCTAAGAGTTCTCATCATAGACAAAAAATGTTTTCTATTTCTTTCATTTTGCAACTATATGAGATGATGAATATTCATTAAACTTATTATAATAATCATTTCATGATGTATGTAAGTCAAATTATTATGCTGTATACTTAAAATTTATACAGTGCTATACATCAATTATATCTTAATAAAATTGGAAGAAAAAAGGAAATAGGAAGACTGGGTGAAGGTGTAGAGAAAAGGTACACTCAGTGGATGGGAGAATAAACTTTTGGACTACATATGTATCTATCAAAAATTTAAGTGGTGGGACTTCCCTGGTGGTCCAGTGGTTAAGACTCTGGCTTCCACTGCAGGGGGCACAGGTTCAATTCCTGGTCAGATCCCACAGGCTGCTGGGTGCAGCCAAAAAAAATTTTAAGTGGTAATTCCATTTTAAGGAATCCTCCCTACAGATACGCTTCGGAAAGTAGCTAGGACACCAAAAGCACAAGCAACAAAAGAAAAATAAATTAAACTTGACCAAAATTAAAAGCTATTGTGCATCAGAGGACACCATCAAGGAAAAACAACAACATAATGGGAAAAAATACTTGCAAGTCAGTTATCTCATAAGGGTCTAGGGTCCAAAATGTAGAAAGAACTCTTTCAAATCAATCACAAAAAGACAACTCAATAAAAAAAAGGGGTAAAGGAATAGACTTTTCCAAAGAAGATATACCAATGGCCAAATACATGAAACAATGTCCAACATCATTAGTTATTAGAGAATGCAAATTAGAACCACAATGCTTTATCATTTCATACCCACTTAGGATGACAGTAACAGTAATAATAATAATAGCAAAAAAACCAGAAAAGACCAACTGTTGGAGAGGATGTGGAGAAACAAACCCTCAAACATTACTGGTGGGAATGTGAAATAGTGTGATGGCAGTTTTTTTAAAAAATTCTACCTCTAATCAACAAATAATCCAGCAATTCCACTCCTAGGTACATACCCAAAAGAATTTATAACAGGTACTCAAATAAAGGGGGCAGCAGAGAAAGAGATGGTTAGATAGCATCACTGACTCAATGGATGTGAATTTGAGCAAACTCTGGGAGAGACAGTGGAGGACAGAGGAGCCTGGCGTGGTGCAGTCCATGAGGTCGCAAAGACTCAGGACACGACTTAGTGACCGAACAATAACAACTCAAATAAAAGTTTATGTACAAATGTTCACAGTAATACTAGTTGCAACAGTCAAAAGAAGGAAACAAAATTAAACATCCATCAACACATGAATGGATAAACAAACTATGGTATATACATACAACAGAATATTATTCAGTCATAAAGAGGAATGAAGTATTGATATGTGCTACAAGGCAGATGAACCTAAAAACATGCTAAGTGAAAGAAGCTAGAAACAATATGTAAGGGTTACATATTATATAAAAAACTCAGAATTAAATCCAGAGACAGGAAGCAGATTAGCAGTTGCCTGGGGCTGGGGTTGGGGTAAGGGGGAGTGAAAATAAACAAAGGGTTTCCTTTTGGGATGCTGAATACACTTTAGAATTGATAGAGGTGATGGTTTTACAACACTGTGAAGGCACTAAATGCCACTGAATTGTATAATACACTTTAAAATGTTTCATTCTATGCTTTGTGAATTTTATTTTAATAAAGGTGTTGAAGGCGCTCAAGTGTTTAAATGGCATATCCACATACAGAATGCCCTCAAGAGGGAAAGCTATACATACTGACATGGAAGAATATCTTTGATATATTGTGGAGGGGGAAAAGACCAAGTTCCAGACAGTATGTTTAGTAAGAATTTAAGTAGGGGAAAAATAAAACCATACCAACACATGTATACATTGGTATGAATATAGAAAAGATCTGGACCCATCCTTGACAAATTATTGAGGTAGTTTTATCAGGGGAGTAGAACTAGGAGGGGAAAATGGGGATGAGGGTGTATTTTTACTTTATATATTTAACATCTTATTAAATTTTTAAAAATTACTAAAAAGTATACTAATATAGTAAGTTTTCAAATTATGCCTTTTAATCACCAAAATTTTGACTGTGGTTCTGAGGAAGTTACTTTTGGTTACTTCAAGTATTCAGATATTTGAAGCAGATATTCAGCCCCTGTCCACCTTCCCCACGCTAACAGATACTTAATTTTGTTCAGAAACTAGGCACCCATGTGTTCCTGCATTATCCTGAATAGTCTAGCCTTCCATGGTGATTCCATTCCTTTTGTGACAGAAGGGTTTAGGCAGGAACATGTGATACAAAGCACACCAAGGGTCTTTCGGGACTGTCTTCTTTGCTCTCAAGAAGGAAGAGAAGGTTAAGGATCTCTCTTTCTTTCCTTTAGATGCATTCAGAGAGGACATAATGTGTGAAATTGCTGTAGCTCACTTATATCTATGAGGGGAAAACCAAGAAAATCAAAGGAAGCTGAACTGGAGTCTAGAATCATTGGGTTTGGAATTAACCAACCTTGAACTTGTTCTGCCTCCACACTCCTATTATGAGAAACAGTAAAATCTCCTTAGAGCTAAAGTCATTTTTCCTTGGGTTTTATGATAGCTATAGCCAGGAGCACCCAAACCAGTACAGCTTCCTTCTTAATCAGAAAGAGCTTTTATTTTGTGTAAGTTTATCTTCTATCACTTTTCCAAAACAGTTCTAAGGTGGTTTAAACAAAAATTACATGATGGCTAGTAAAACAAGGGTAGAACCATAATAAAGTGAAATACTAGGATCAAAAACAAAGGAAGAAACAATATTCTGGGTCTGAAGGCTGAGAAGGCTGCTGGCTGAGACACCCTGTTCTAAGTATCCAACAGGCCTATCAAACCACAAGGAGATCAAGCATCAGAGTCAGTTTTTACAAAGCTTGCTTCATTAGGTACTATTTACCTTCTCTTCCTATACCAACATTTTATTATGAAAACTTTCAAACACATAAGAAAGTTGAAACACATTTATAGTGAACACCTATATATATGCTTATTACCTAGATTCTACCAGCAGTTACACATAGTTTTTCACATTTATTCTTCTATTCAACTATCAGTTGATCTTAATTTTGGATGTTTTTCAAAGCAAGCTACATACATGAATATATTTCCTTTATATTTTATAGCATTTCTTTAACTAGAATTCATGTTTTTTTGTTTGTTACTTTTTTTGAGATAAAAGTTACACGGGCTTCCCTGGTAGCTCAGTGGTAAGGACATGTGCCTGCCAAGCAGGAGATGCAGGTTCGATCCCTGGGTTGGGAAGATCTCCTAGAGAAGGAAATGGCAACTCAACCCAGTATTCTTGCCTGGTAAATCCCATGGACAGAGAAGCCTGGTGGACTACAGTCCATGGGGTTGCAAAGAGTCCCACAAGATTTAGTGACTAAACAACAACAACAACAAAAAGTTACATGCATGTACAAAGTACCTTCACTGAATTCTAACAAACACATAACCCATCTCCCTGTCAAGATACAGAAATTACCTTCACCCCAAGAAGTTCCCTCACACCCCTTCCCAGTCATACCTTCACTTTTGAGACTGGTACATGGGAACTCCTACAGAAAAAGAAAAGGGAACAGTAACTACTTTAGGAATAAATGAAACATCACAATTGCAGTACAATGCTGATTGTAACATGCATATCCCAAATACCCAGGACATCTCTGGCAGTCACTACCTGGAGTTGGGTCAGCCCAGTCCCTGTATTCTTTACTCACAATAGGTCCCCAGGTCTAACAACTTTTCATGCAAATATAACTGTAATGTTCTTTGTGGTCTGACCTCCAAACTCACAGTAGATTACATATTATAAAATCTGAATGGAAACAAGAACTGCTAAGGGTATGCAGAGCAAAGAGAAATAACTGTCTGGCAAGGGTATAGACAGAAAAAGCAGATATAAGAATTGAAAATATGTAACAATTAGTACCATATGATGCAGGGCCAATAACTCTACACATTCAGGAGTATCACAGCAATGCTGCTGAACTGTAACAAAGTGGAATGCAGAATTCCTTGGCCATTCAAAGTTTTATTACCCTGGTTTCAATGATGTGTGAACAGCCTCAAAAGTCTATCACATGTAATTTTGCTGATGCATGTTCCTGAATAACATGAGTGGTGAGGCTGCTGTGTGAAGAGTGAGTCAGTCACTTGGGAGAGAGGGTGTCTAGCTGGCTGCCCAGCATCTCTGTCCAAATTTGGCTTTGATGTCAGACAGGATGCTATATACTCAGAAATAAGTAACATGATAAAAACATTTCTTCTTTGTGAAAATGACCCTCCAAAAAAGGAGCAGCTGCTAGAGTTGATAACAGACATGAAGTTGTCTAAGAAACTGAAGCTTCTTGGCTAGAAAAACATTTTCAACAGATTAGTGAGTTGGCTGGGTTCTAAGATAGGAAGAAACTCCTCATACGCTCTCTAGAGATAGAAAGCAAAGGTGACTCAAGAAACTGCTTGGGCGAGTGCTCTAGTTAACTGAACACTGAAAAACGTAAGAAACAACAGGCTAGGCGTTGGGGGTTTTTGAGCACAGGCCACCCTTCTTGCTTGACCCTACAATAAACTGCGAAGTTTCATTTGTTTGGTCTCACTGCGCTTCAGGTACGTGAATTTGCGTTCAGTAACAATTCTGGTGAGGCCATCCCAGGAGTCCGTGCTGGTGCGTGATGACCCTGGCCAGAGGCAGCCCCCACCCTGAGACCCCAGCAGCTTCCAGAACTCATTCATTCCAGGGAACGGGAAGGGACTCTCCCTGACAGGCGCCAGCCGCCCCAAGACATGCGGCTCTTTAGAGCTGAGGGGAAAAAAATAAATGACATGCTGGAGTGGTATATATACCTACAGGGAAAAGCAGAGCTCCCATAATTCCCTATAATATGTATGAATTTCAATAAAAACTTAAATACAGCATCTTTTGTTAAGAGGTAGTAAGATACAGCATACGTTTCTCAAAGACTCCTACCAAAGGGGTTAAAAGAGAACAACCTTTGAAGCTTTAAGAAATTAAGTTTTTATTTGCCTAGAAAACTCATTTCCATGGAAAAGCCCATTCCATTACAAAAGACATTTCAGGAAAAATCTGGCTGAACAATGAGGTGATTATTAGTGTTTCAAAGAGATCTTTCACTGTGTCAAATTGTTTAAAAGATGAGCTCCTCCAGCAATTTTAGAGTAAGATTTTTATTTGCTAAAATTTAATTTACACATAACTTTCAAAAATACACTCACTGCCATGGGGCTCCACTATTTGAGGGAGTGAGGTCCCAGAGTGAATGAGAAGCTAGAAAGCACACAGACAGAGAAAGGGATTGCTGGGACAAAAGCAGACTGGCAGGAGTCATGTCTAGGTCGTGTATCCCCATCCTGTCTGTAATTCTTGGTCACAAAGAGCACCTCAAGGCATTGCTGCATTTACGATTCCGAAATCAAAGTATCTCACAGCCTTCAAGCTGGTATCTACAAAGCATAAAGTGGCCCTGGACCTGACATTCAACATATCTTTACTATCCTATGTATTATATGATTTCGTTCAGGAAAAAAACCCTCACATCTTCACACAACTTTAGTCTCATGTAAACTGCACCAATTACTCTGACATTCCTTCCTTTAATTCTGAAGCTTACCTATTAAGTTAACTCCTAATTTATGGATAATATTCTCAGAATCAATTTGCAAGTCAGGGGCTATCCAGTCCGTGGGCTGTATTTAACAAATAGTATCAATGACTCAGAATTCTGTCTCTACTCCAGCCTGTGTTCTGCTGGGACAGGTGCTAATTATGCACTGACATGACCAGAAGTATGTCAGAGAGCCGGGCAGATGAACTCAGTATGTTCCACGAGTAAAATTACCCAAAGACTTCCACAGGAAAGTTTCCTGCCTCCTCTGGTTACAGAAACAGAAATGTGCATCAATTCGAAAACGGCAAGATGACTTTTTTATAACACATGGTCCAATCAAGGTTGCCCCAGGCAGAAAGCAGAAACTGACAAAACAGTTGTATGGTGAAGAATTAACATTACCTGAAGACAGGTTTGACTTTTGCTACTGGCTTCTGGGAGATAATCTTGGAATATCATGCTTGATAGGAGTCTCACTGTTTGCCTGGGACCTTAGGTCACCACAAAGTCTGATATAATTTAGGGTGCAGGCTGGACATACCGTAAGACCAATGATGTGGTTTCAGGTTTAGGCTTTGGGTCACACAGTGTTAGCAGACTTCTGGAGGGACTGGAGGCTGAAACCAGCTACATGGACAGTCAACCATACCGACACAATGGAGCCCCAGTAAAAACTGAACACCCATGCTTGGGTGGGTGAGCTTCCTTGGTTGGCAATACTCCACACATACAGCCACACACTGGAGGTGACAAAGTTAACACTGTTCCAACTCCACGGGGAGAGGACAACTGGAAGCTTCGTATTTGGTGCTGTCTTGCACTCAGCCCTACATACTTCTTCCTTTGATTAATGTTAATCTGTAATCGTTCCCTGTAGTAAACTGTAATCAAGCATATACCAATTTTCAATGAGTTCTGTGAGTTCTTCCAGGGAATAATCAAACCTTGAAGGCAGCCTTGGGAACGACTGGATTGCAGCCGGTATCAGAGGTGCAGGTGGTCATGTGGGCTAATTCGGCAATTGTCTGAACTCCGGCAATGTGTCAGAAGTGAGGGAGATCTTGTGGACTTTGCTCCCTCTAACTTCTCAGTGACCTAACTGCTTTCAGTGGTGCTACTATTCTTCTCTTCTGGCATCTAGCACTGTTACACTTGTGTTTAGTCGAGCTACTTGTATATGGGCCCTAGGCCTATCAGTGGCCTCTGAGTCTCGCACGCTGGACCCCTTCATACCTATCCCACAACTGATCCACAGTAGGTGTCGGTATATACTGGTTGGATTGAATGAATCATACACAGTATAACAGGAATAAGCTTGAGGTTATTTTGATTCCTTCCCTCCCATCATCACCAACTGATTAATAAAAAGCACTGGTGGCAACAACTCTAGCATTGTGCAGGATTTACCTTTGTTCTGAAAGAGCATCTGCAGGAAATAACTGATGTGCGAGAGCATGGTCCACAGTCTCCTTCATGACAGAGCTTTTCACAGGTATGAATGAAATCTTTAATAAAAATGAAAAGAGCTGGGGATGAAAATTGCAACTACTCATTTTCAGATTCCCAAATTCACCAGCCACAATAGTTCTCCACTTCTATCCCCTGTAACTCCGTCACCAAAGCTGAGGAAAGAAGGATGCTGTTAATGTCTCTTGCCCTAACTTCCCCTCATCTGGCCAGCTGGGCCTTTTCCAGCAAGGAAAGGCCCCAGCATTAGTCACAGGAATATGCTCTGGGGCACAAGGTGCTCTGTGTACGTCAAAGAAAAGATCTTCTGACTCTTTATTGAGACCTCAAGTCTCCAAATTAGACTTGGATCTCCTTAAAATTGTAGCCATGGGTGACTTACTGAAGTACTCTTGACTCTAGGGAGTCAAAATCATCTAGGGATCATAAACAACCAGAAACCATGATCCATAATCTCAATGACTAAGTTCTATGAATTTCTGGTCATAGGTGGCCTGCCACCTGTTCTGTTAAGCTAGGTTTTAGAACAAGTCCTGTTTCGTGGACTCCCCAGGGATAATCCACAGTTTCTCTTCATGGCTGCTGTTTACATGATGCTTTTTTTCCATCCCTTTACCTTCAGCCTAAGTGTATCTCTGACTCTAAAGTCTTTCCTGAAGATGGCATTATAGTTGCATCGTTTTAAAATTCATTTTGATAATCTCTGCTTTTTGTCTAATTGCTTAATCCATTCACATTAATGTTATTATTGATATAGTTGTATATATATCTGCCATTTTACTTTTAGTTTATGTCTCATGGCTTTTTTGTTAATATAATCTTCCTTCATTGTTTTCTTTTACATTAAGTGAGTATTCTCCACTGTAACATTTTCCCCCAGTAGTGGCATTTTCCACTATATTTTGAGATATCTTCTTAATGGCTGCTCTAGAGCTTATCAGTGGTACACATCTGAGTTGACTTCAGATGTGTACAAACCTAATTCCTGTGAGATACAGAAGACTTATACTCATACAGCTCTATTTTCTCTTCTCTTTTGTGCTATTACTGTTATACATATTACATCTAAATGTGCTACAAATTTAACAGTACAATGTTAAAATTATTGCCTTATAAGTTATGCCTATTAAAGAAGCTGAAAAAAGAAAGGAGAGCAAGTATATAACATAATTTGTTATATATATCTTATTTACTGTTACTGGTTTTCTTCATTTGTTCCTAAAGATCTGAGTTACCATCTGATATCACTTCTTTAACTGCAATACAACCTAATTCCACCTATTCCCTTCATGCTGTTACTATCAGCTATATTCCTATATATTATAGGCCTAATGACACAACTATATATATATTATTTTATACTACTGCTTTTTAAATCAGTGCAGAAAGAATAAATATGCACTTATTCTTTCTTTTATGATTAGGTAATTAACTTTACTCTTTGTTTTTTCTTGTGGATTTACATATATCAGCCTGAAGACCTCTCTTTAGTATTTACTGAAAAGTAGATCTGCTAGCAGAGAACTCTTGATTTTTCATTTTGGAAAGACTTGCTGCATATAAGATTCTTGGTTGGTAATTTTTTTTTTTTCAGCACTTTGAATAGGTCATCTCACTGTCTCCCTCTTGTGATAGCGTTCTCCACTGTTTCTGATGAGCAAGTCACCGGTGAATCTTACAATGGTCCCCTAGTATGTAATGAGTCATTTTTCTCTTGCTGCTTTCTAATTTTGTCCTTGTCTTTGGCCTTCAGCACTTTCACTATGTGCCTTGGAATTTTTCCTATGGAGTTTTTGAGTTTCTTGGATGTGCCAATAAATATCTTTCAATAAATTTGAAAAGTTTCCCACCAGTATTTGAATATTTGCTCGTTTCTCCTCTCCTGGTACTCCACCATTCTCCTGATGTGCTTAAAGGTGTCCCATGTTTCTCTGAGGCACTATTTGTTTTTATTCACTTCATTTTCTCTATGTTTTGGGGATTATATTATCTCTATAACACAGATCTACCTTCACATTTATTGATCCTTTCTTCTGCCAGCTCAAATTTATTGTTGAGTACCTCTGATGAATTTTTAATTTTAATTACTGGACTTTTCAACTCCAGATTTTCCTTTGGGTCCTGTTTTTATAATTTCTATCTCTTTACTGATACTCTATTTGATGAAATGCCGCCTCTGTACCTTCCTTTAACCCTTCAAGCATGGTTTCCTTTAGTTCTTTGAATGTATTCATAACGGCTACCTTGACAGCTTTGTTAAATCTGACACTGATCACTCTCACAGAAAACTGAAGGTTTCTGTTACCTGTGGGGATTTTTTTCCATTTGCATACTTTGTAAATTTTTTGGTTGGAAGCTGAACATTTCTGGCAATCTGTTGTTTGCAGTAACTCTGGCTACTGCTTCCTCTTTCCACAGCCTGTCTGTGCTTGTTCACTAGGCTATTTTAGTGAAGTCTATTTCTATCACAGCACAAAGACATTGGTGTCACTCTTTTGATGGCACAACCCTGGGCAATGCACTGTCACCCTGGGAAGACAACAGTGTCAGCAGGACTCTCTTTGACTATCTCTTTCCCTAATCCTTCCGATAAGCCGTCTGCTTCTCTTGGTATTACATTCAGTCCTGAGGCTTCACTAACTGCTGGCTGACTGCAGCGTCCCAGGGCATAAATTGCTCAGCAGTCTGATCCAATAAAATCTGGGCAGAGGCAGTCTTTGAGGCAAGCCTATGAAGTTTGGTCTGACCCCAGGATGGTTCCTCTTGGTATCTCCTTCCCTGGTTCTCTGGTGAACCAGGTGGCCTATAGTTTAGCTTGTTGCTCTTAATTAAGAGGAACTATTGTTTTCTAAAGGGTCCTTAGGTCTGACTTCTCCATACTCTCTTTCAAATTAAACTCAGTTCCTTTAGGGAATATTTTGGAGCTCTCTTTCCTCATGGACTGTCTCTCCCCCCTGGAAAAGGTCATTCAGTCACTGGGTGCTGGGTGGGACAACAGCCTCTAGTTTTCCTGGCTTGTGCCTCACATTGTGAAACCTCTGCCCTACAAGTGAACTGGGGTGAGGGTGACCGAGGCCCCAGTGCTCCTGCCTCTTGTGACTGGAACAGGGCCTCCAATCTATGTGTGACCCTAGAGGAAGGGAACCCCAAACCTGGCAGTTGTGCTTACCAGAAGTTTAGCGTTTTCAACTTGGAGTTGGGGGGATAAGAAATGCTGATGGTCTGCTCCTCCTAGCAAGCAGCCCTTGACTGGGAACTGAGGGCAGATGAAGCCCCGATTTCTTGGGCAAACACATCCTTTAGTTGAGCTGATTTGGGAAGGGGCAGGGAAGGAGGGAGTAGGTTGTGACTCAAACAACACAGACTCTTGCTGTTCTTAACTCAGTTTTAGTAGGTTTTCTTCAATAAAAATTTCTTCATTGGAGTTATGTGTGTAGGACAGTTTCCAGAGACTTTAAATGGTTGCTTTTTTTTTTTTCAGTTTTCCCCAGCTTTGCCTGTTTTGCTCCTCAGGCTACCATCCTGAAAGCAGACCACGACCTAGTCTTTTGTACTAAAGCTATGTGACTAGAATGGACATTTCCTACTGGGTGAGATACTAACGGACCTAAACAAGATTTCTATAGCTAAGACAGGTCTGAATAAACATGAGATCCACTGTTACCACTAGTAATGGTACCACTAGTAATTGAGCTTCTCAATCCAACTCACCTTAGCTCCTGAAAAGCTTTCCACGATTAAAACTCTGCTGAAGTATAGCAGTTACTCTTCAAACTCCTGAGCTGGTCTTGTCCCACCCCCAGGTCTGTTCATACTGACCGTTACTGTCCTTCTCTTGCTCAAGACCCTCTGCAGTATCCATTTCACATTTCCTCTTTCCCTCTATGCCAACAAGCTATCTGAGCGTCAGGGCAGTATATCTAGTCATATACAAAGTTCTTATGAAACTGACCCACATGCTTTCTGAAACGGGAAGATCTTTACCCTCTCTCTGGATCTGCAAGTCATTTGATCTCTGTTTCACAGGGCTTATCTGAAGACACATTTTCCTGGTAGACAGAGACAAGCAATAGACAACCGACTTTCCTGACGAGGTTGAAATGTATTAAAATAAGAGAAAAGGGCATTTCTTCTCTCTACGTAATTTTAAAGTCAGACTGAGAAAAGGAATTAGGTAGGGTGCGCCTACTGGTACTTGGAAGAAATGTAAAATCTTTCTTCTTGGAAAAATGGAAACCAAACTTAAAAGAGTCTATCTTTACCACAGATAGTTATAGGAACACCTCTTGTATACAGACCAACTTGATCAGTTTCATTTTTCTAAATATGCAGCTAATGTACGCAGGTAATGTAAATTTGAGAACTCGGGAGAGAAGCTGCCAACTCACTGTAAAACTGTACGTGCACATACCCCAAGGACTGCCTCAGAAAGCATCAGTCAGAAGCTCAGACTATTGCTTTATAGCTAATCTCAACAAACCTTTTCTGGTTTCTATATCCAAGTAATCAGAAGCCTGAGAGTCAGAAGAAAACGAGAGTCACTAAAGGGAGGCAGACAGGACACTGAAAGCATTCACAAGAAAACACCACCAAAAGGTTTAACAAGTAAAACAGTCACCCTGTACCTTGCTGTGGGGAAATACCTGAGAAACCTCAGCACGCCCAGAGGGAATCAGTGTATTCAGTAGAAGACAATAACTGAGGTTCAGGGAAGTGATGACTCTCAGTCAAATAAGGGCAAAGAAATCATCTTTGGTAACCTCTATTCAAAGAAGGAAGGTAATGTAAATTTTAGAAAAACGTCCCTTCAAAATGATTTTCAGGAGGTGTTATTCTTAGTTAGATGGGAAACCTATCTGAAGAGAAAGATGTTTCCTGAGTGGTTCAAATGAATAAAGTTTCAGTGCACTTAAAATCTCAGTTCTTAAAACCTCTCACCCAGTTAAAATGTTTCTATTATACGAAAATGCTTCTAAACACTTGCCGAACCCTAAATTACTAAAAGGATACCTGGCATTCATACTAGTATAGGCTGCTAAGAGAAATCATAAACACCCCAACCACCCCCCACCCCAACCACAAAACAATATCTAACCACAACTGTCCTGAGTTGGTAATACCTGAATTACTAATAGAAAGATCATTTGGGCAAATGTGAGCTTTCACAATTATATTTTGAGAAGGAAAGAAAAAGTAACCACACAAATCTGATCATAATATTTAGAAAAACATCTGATACTGTAACTGGAATTAAATACTATTTTGCTGAAGTAGTCACTGCCGCCAAATATTTACATTTACATTTTTGAAGACAACTTTCTGCCCACGAGTTACCTAGGGAACCACAAGGCAGAGGCTTGCCGCACACTTTTCCACATGAAGGCACAGGATCCATGCATGTCTTCCGACCACTGCTTCCAAGTTCCAGCAACTGGCTGAGAGGAGTTTGCCCACAAGGGCAATAGCGCACAAGCGGGGGAAGCCGTGGGCACGGCGGGCAGGGCTGAGGGTGGCACACCTGAGAACAAGTGTGGTTCCCACATTTCAAGTCCCTGTTAAGGAGAACAACACACTATTACATTAATTGTTGCCTTAAATACAGCTTTGTTCTAACTGAGAAAAACATAAAACCTTACTTGCCACATATCTTTAAACAGCCAAAGTCCCCAAATCCATCAGACTTTCCCATGTCTGTTCCACATAACACATCTCGGGAGGTGCTGCCACAGTAGCATACTTGAGGACAGAATTTCAAAAATGAAAGATTAGTAATCTGCACAAGAGCTTAAAATATTACTCTAAGCAATCTATAAGAAGACACAAAATCCTATTCACTGTTGATCAGACCCGGCACAGAAATAAATGTGGCTTATACAGCAGCTCTAAGCCCCACCTAAGAGCTCTACCACATGAAAAAAATTTAGAAGCTTTTGTTAATTTTAACACATCTCATGGTACCCCTGTAGCACACCTCAACATGAGCATTAAAGTGAAACAGACTAGTCTCTGGTCCATAAGGCCATGGTTGGAAACCATGGATCATGAAGCTCCCTGGGGTCCTGTGGAGATGTCACAGAAGACTGAACCTAAATGGGGTAATTATGGAGGCACTGATGACTGGATTCCACCCTCATTTCAACCAAACAGCACAGATTTAATACTTCGTATCTTGGGGTTCACATAAAGTGCTTAGGAAAAGTGTCTGCTGCTAAAAAGAAATTTTAAGATAGATACAATATAAAATCCTTGTTAATCTGTATTCTACTATTGTTAAATTTGAAGTAATCATGTCTGAGTCCTGATACTGAGTAAAAAGTGTTTCAAAGAACTTGAGACTTTTATTGACTATATAGAGAACTCAGTCTAATACCTATAGATTTTTCTGTGGGTTGAAGAAATAATAGGTTGCTTTACGTGCTGCATTTAAGGAGTTATTTTCAAAGCAAACAAGAAAAGAGTTGGTTTCTGACTAATATGTAACAAAGTCTGGTGAGGACTAATTTTCATCAATTTAGATAATTTTTCTGATAAGGGCCACTTTACATTTTCAGTTTATAATGAAAACTTTTTGTCAGTAAAGATATTAACCAAGATGCTTGATTTTTAAAATATACATTTACTCTCCCAGTAAATACACGGGCAGTTTCATCCCCTGTTCTAAAACTCATTAAATAAAGATTTACTTATTAGATGAATTATAGGTGCAGGATATGCAAGATTGGCAGAATCAACAAATTGGTAAACAAAACCCTAGCAACAGGGAGGCTGTGCAAGCAGGCTTTCTTTTTTTGCTAAGTGTTTACTCAAATAGAACAGACTTCTTCTTTTCCAGAGGTATAAGATAGCTATAAACCAAAGAATCAAGGGTCAGAAAATTGACAAGTCTTTTCAAGCACACATGAACATTCTCTAGGACTGATGCCAATACTAGGGAACAAGACAAACCTCAACAAAACAGAAAATAAAAAACACCTTGAGACAAAAAGTCTACAAATAAATGCTGGAGAGGGTGTGAAGAAAATGGAGCCCATCTACACTGCTGGTGGGAACATAAGTTGATACTACACTGATGGCCTAAATACTTTGCTAGATATATAATATGGACAAACAAAAAGTCTTCAACTGGGTTTGAAAAAATCAGCTACACACACAAAAACAGAAAGGAAGAGACTGGGATCCATACAAATCTGACAAAAAAGTGTCATTTAGTCCAATATGAATCAAGAGGTAAAAATGGTCCAGATCAAAGACAATCTATACTGCCAAGACGAAACTGCCAGTATATATTTACTCCTGCCTTATCTCAAAATGGGTTTAATTGAGTATATAAGGATATATGAGATAAATGAAGAGAACATAAAAGATGTGAAAATAAAAAGGAAAATAATGGTAAGGATGCAGAATGAATCATAGCTAAAAAGTACACACTATAAAGATGGACATTAGGTCAGTTATACCAGCTTCCTAAGATATTATCTTTGAGGAAAAACAACTATTCTTGGAACTAAGATCAAACAGGACTTTCTTCCCGGAGGACCCATAAACAAACCACTAAATAATATACAGCACAACTCCCTATGTAAAATCCTTATAGTACACACCACAAAACATTTCACAGGGCTATTTCTTATTTTAAGTGCCAACACAGATCAACAGCATCACATAAAAGTAAAATTTAATAAACTAAAACTATAGGACCAATGCATAGTAGCCCAGGATCTCTGCAGATTAGACTGCCATAAAAACAGAGAAAGCATACAATAAGTGGTCTTTTGAGACTCTCTTCTTTCACTTAGTATTTTGGTGTTTTTTTTTTGAAGTAAGAGAAATCATTTTAATACATATATTTTCACTTCAGTCAATTCAACAATAGTTTCTAATAAGCATGCAGACCCATTTAGTTTGCTTCAAATTTATTTATTTCTCAATATGCAGCAACCTTCCTAACGAGATAGTTGAGTTGAACTATTTATTCTTAAAGAGTACAATGTACCTTGTCCTCAAAGAGTTTTATCAACTTTAATACCTTCAAAGAGCCCTATGAGGCTGCTCAATATGGTAGTTTTCCCCTGAAATTTCTTATTTGGAGGATGGCAAAACAGTCTAGGACCTTCCCCAGTCTACTGGTTGCATGTATTCATATCACAGCGTGGCAGGCTAAGAGGTAGAGACTGAATAATATTAGATAGCCTTCAAGCCCAGCTGAGTGAGACAGCTTCATTTTTAGAAAGGAAACCAAATCATGAAAACCCTCCTGACAGTATGATTTGTTCCAGGGTTCTTTTAAGAAGGGACGTAATCCTCATGCACAGGACTCTTTATGGCCTTCTAGAGTTTTCTGCTCAGCCACTGTTTTCCAGCCAGGTGACTTACTGCACTTGCTGCAGAACTGGAAGCATGAAGCCTCTGTCTACTTGCATCATTAGAGGTGGTGTTAATCTTCTCATTTCCGGCCAAATGGATCCGACCACACTTTCAACCCTGGTGGCTGCACGTCTTCTTGAACAATACCAGCTCGATTAATGGCTTGTTCCTTCTTGTACTCCTCCAGCCGCATTAAGGACCGGAAGTAGATGGGGTAGAAGGTGACGCCAATTAGGGAGAGGAAGCCGCCGAAAATGAGAGCAGTGCGCAGGTTCCGGGACATGGCTCCAGCCAGGGCTACCCGGATTCTCCGAGTGCCCGGGACTCTCCAAACCCGGCTCCCGCTGGCTGGGCTGTGACGCACTTAGTATATTTTGGAGGTTCATCCACTTCATAGCATGTATCAATATTTTATTCCTTTCCATGGCTGAATAATACATCTTTTTATGGATATATCATGTTATTCCATTTATCAGTTGACAGGTATTTGCATTATTGCCACATTTTGACTATTATGAATAATGCTGCTATAAACATCAGTTTAGAAGTTTTGTATAGACATATATTTTCATTTCTCTTGGGTATATGCCGAAGAGTAGAATTGCAGTCACATGACAACTCTATGTTTCACCTTTAAAGGAACTACTATACTATTTTCTTTCTCCTTTTGGCTGTACCACACAGCTTGTGAGACTTGTAAAAAGACTCCTTTTCCCACTGAATTAACTTAATATCTTGGCTGATATCAACTGACTGTAATATACTGAGATCTATTTCTGGACTCTATTGTCAGAGTCTACTAGTCTACTTTTATACCAATAACCACAATGTCATGATTACTATTACTTTATAAGTCTTAAAATGAGGTCTTTCAAATTTGTTCTCTTTCAAAGACTGCTTTGGCTTTTTCTGCGCCCTTTTCAAGTAGTCACTGAAAAAAGATTTCCTAAGCAGTTTCTTTTAAACAGCATTAAAAAACATCTACTGTCCAAATTCTATAGGACAATGACCTATACTGGTATTACGTGACCAAAATAATGAAAACCATCCAATCATTCATATATCTCTAGTTCTTTCTACCCAAGATAACGGACCTAATAGAGTCTTTGTAACTATAGGCTTGAGACAAAACCATGTCATCAATACAACTGTAAATAAGGTTCCAAAAAAGCCCCCAAGTATGGCTGGCTGCTGGGCTCACCACTTACCCTGGTTCAATATGACCCGACAAGGTTGGCAGGGACCCCCATGGCACAGCTCAGCACAGTGGTGCTGACCACAATTCAAAATACTGTCACAAGGGTTAGAACAGTGAACTGAGACCGCCTGACCGCAGCGAACTGTGTGCCTACAAAAAGAGAAAACAGAAAGACAGCATTAGCCTATGTTGGACACTGAGGTCCTACTCGACAGCTAAACTAACCTTCCCCCAAAACCTACTAAACCTCTCTGGGCCCCATTTCCCCTACTTCTTCTGTGTTTCCCTCCTCCAATCACTCCCTCAATTACTCTTCCTTTCTCCACTCTTCTTTTTCACTCCTTTGCTTCTCTGTCCCCTATTTTCTGGCCAGAGAGGAATTGAAGGCCTAAGTGTTTGTTATACTGTGATTTCTCCTCTGAGTTGAAGCAGCATGCGGGAGGGTAAAGAGCCTGAAGCTCCCACAGTATCTTACAGATCTGGGTGGGGAAGTTGGAAGATGTAGTTCTAACAAATATTCCTGGAATGAAAGCACAATGGCATTCTCCTGGGACCCTGCACTCTGGCATTTTCGGCAGTTATAATATTGTACTTAAGAACATACTGTATGTGACTTTGATTCAGGAAGGGAAATAATTCTGGCTTTGTTCTAATAAACATCCTGATTTTGCTGACTTATTAGCCAGAGAAGGATATGAGGCCACTGCTCTTACACAACTGTCTTCAGGTTTCTTTTCAGGGTAATGGTTAAGAGCTTGGAATCTACTCTCTCACAAAAAGTTCTATTCTATTCCACTATTCTCACTTCGGCTATGTATTTTGTTTTAAAAAATCACTGATACATATATAGATGATCAGTTTCTAGTGCTCAGCATCACAGACAATATCAACCCCTTGAGGAAGACATTATTATTTCTACCATAAGAAGATAAGATAAGAAAAATGAGCCTCAGCAGGAGAAAGCAACTTGCCCAGGTTAACAGCTAGTTAGTGGCAGAGCCCAAATATGACCTGGGCTTTCTGACCAGAAAGCCTTGCATGTGACTCTCAGGCTACACTGCTACTGTTGTAAGTTCAGTAAACACCTAAAAAACGTTTATCATTGAAAAATCTGCACTATTTCATCTCGTCTTGTGGTTCAGGAATCACTGTGTGGTCTTCACTGGACCTCAGAAGCACTCCACAGCTATGCAGCTATCAATGGTCCCTGTACTGATAAAGCATAACTTGCACTGTAATGAAAAGAGGGTGGGCTCTGGGGGCCACTTACTCTTTCTTTCAACAATACTCACTGAAAACCTCCTAGACACCAGATACTACGCTAGGCACAGATAAATGATCCTTGCCTCCTTAACCTTAGCAGGCCGGGGTTCAACTCCTGGTTCTTTCACCCACTGGAGATGTTAAGAAAAAAGTCCCATAGTATTTCACCTAAAACAACAATCTCACTTTTTGTAACTTTTTAATCACTTAAAAGATTGCAAAACAGGATTAAGGCAGCACAGGATTTACTATTTGCAGAAAAGTACTATTTACACCTACCATTAATGATAGTAAATAAATACTCTTTGTGCCTACCTACTAATCTTTCATTTTAGAAATTCATATATAAACCATCAATGTGGAAACTGAAGTCTTCCTTTGGAGTACAAGTCTAACTTTACCTGGTCCGTCCACATTCACAAGTTTTAGTCATAAAGGCAGGGCAGGGTGGGCAAGGTCCTGGATGGCACAGACTAAAAAAGAAAAGTTTTGATGAAGAAATCATACTTATGTATCCAAACCTGAACAAAGCTGCCCCGACTGAGCCCAACTGTGACTATGGCAGCAAATAAACTTACTATGAAATGTTTTAGTATTTATCTAAAGTTGATTAACTATTTAAACAAAGATACCAACAATGTTTTTATATAGAAAGGATTGATAGCAGTACCATTTTAGAATATTTAACCAGAAAAGAAAAGCCCAAGTCAACATATTGGTCTTATTTGGGTCTGACCAGTCAAAGAAAGCATTTCTAAATATGGTCTTGGCCCACTTAGTGCAGTGTGTAGGGATAACGAGGCTGCCACTCAGGATGGTCAACAGAGTCCTTTAGAAGATCAGAACTCGATCAATGTTCAGTTCAGTTCAGTTCAGACACTCAGTCGTGTCCAACTCTTTGCTGCCCCATGGACTGCAGCACGCCAGCCTTCCCTGTTCAGTGCAACAGACCTCAAATCTGCTAGGTCCATGAGAAGTACAGACATGCTCTCATCAGCTAGTGAAGTGCTAACAGGTGATGTGCTAACAACATGAACAGTGAAAAGGTGCGGGTGACGGGAGGCATGCTGGCGAGTGACAAAGTGGAGAGGGACTCGTGGAAAGGGCTGGGCTCAGTGATATGCTGTAGGTCAGAATCAGGCCTCTGAACAGAACTTTTTTTATATGAGCTATAATAAATAGAGACCAAAGGAAAAAAATAACGAGACGGGTATATTTAAACAAATACTACCCTCTTCAAAGCAGACACCCCTGGTAATATTACACAGAAATATCACTATTTAAAACATTTGGGAACTTGGTGGGGGCGGGGGGGGGGGGTGCAGGTAGCATCTACGTGATGGCAAATCACAATCCTTTGGGAGTTACAAGCCAATCAGAGATGAGTTGAATTCATCAAGTAGGTACTAGAATTTGCTATAAAAATCAGGTGTGCCTGAGTGGATTTTTTTATGTAACTCCTAAATCAGTAATAATAATTATTAAATCAGTTTTAAACACTGAAAACAATCTAGAAACATGTGCCCAATCTCCTAAGGTGACCCATTTTGACAGACTGAACCACAGAAGACTAAGATTAAGCATGGTTCTTCAAGGATGAGTATCATTATTCAATAGCTACATTCCATATGATATGCCTCAACACTTTCAGATGAAATTATTTTCATGGCTGGACATTTAAATAAATTTAGACTGAGAGACAAACTGTTGGTCAGATGTGGATGATTCCAGATTATTTCAAACATCCCTGAGGCCTGGACTTAATCCCTGGACTTGAAGAGTAATGGTTGACAACACTGCTACGTATTAAAATCACTTGAAAAGCTTTTACAACAACAATGCTTAGAATGCATTTGAGTTAGTTCCAGTGAGATGGATGACCCTAGAGCCTATTACAAAGAGTGAAGTAAGTTAGAAAGAGAGAAACAAATACTGTATATTAACGCATATGGAATCAAGAAAGATGGTACTGATGAACCTATTTACAGGGCAGCAATGGAGATGCAGACAGAACAGACTTGTGGACAGAGGGGGAAGGAGAGGGTGGGCCAAATGGGGAGGGTAACGTGGAAACACATACACTACCGAAGTAAAACATCCAGCCAGTGGGAATTTGCCGTCTGACTCAGGGAGCTCAAACCAGTGCTCTGTGACAATCTAGAGGGGTCGGATAGGTTGGGAGGAGGGAGGGAGGTTCAAGAAGAGAGGGGACATATGTGTACCTATGACTGATTCATGTTGATGTATGGCAGAAACCAACACAGTATTGTAAAGCAATTATCCTTCAATTAAAATACATAAAATTTTAAACAAACAAACAAACAAAAAAACACTACAAAGCTTAGACCCAACCCCAGGAGATTCCGATTTAACTGCTGTGAGCCAGAGACCAGGCGCTTGTGTTTTAAAATGCTCCTTCAATGACTGACCATCTGGTCTGCATCACAGTTGGTATCCTCTGATAGTCACGACAGGGGCCCATTTCTATTGAAGGCTTCGGAAAGATAATTCATGCAAGGGTTAATTTCTTATTACTGAATTTACTCAAAATGCCAATGGAGGGAAGGAAGAGATGAGTCTGGATTCTGATCTATGAAAGCAGTCAAAGGAAGAGGAGGGGCTGACTGCCCAGCAGATGGCAGACCATGCTGTTGAGCCCAGTCTGAACAGCTCTCCCACTGACAGTCCCCAGCACCATCCCCACATGGTGATCACAAGACCTCTGACCCAACTCCTGTTCCTGCAACAGAAACTAGATAACAGCAGAAGCAACTGTAACACTCTGGTGTCTATACTACTCTTAGATTTGGGTAACAAAAGCAAGGGTTACCATTTTTTGACCACTTACCATGTGCCAGGCTCTGGGCCAAATCTCTTAAGTGTGTTAATTTAATATTCGTAGAACTCTGTAACTAGTTTTGGTCATATCATTATTACCTTGCAGGTTCAGAAACTGAGGCTCAAAGAAGTAATTTGTCCAACATCACGTAACTGTTAAGTGATGAACACAGGAATGAAACCTATGTCTGAAGTCAGTCTGTAGAAATTTATTTGGAACTGATCAACAGTGTATTATGGTTCATTTCTTTCCTCATCTATAAAATGGAGATGATAAATATCTATACATCACTGGGCTGTGGTTAGGATTCAGCGAGTCAACTTTTGCAGAGTACCTGGCACACGGCAAGTGCTCAGTAAATGATACCACGCAGTCCTTCTCCCATGCCTGTTACACACCAACCAAACATGCACACCGAGAGCCACAAGCAAAGCGTGTTCACCAGCGACCCCCAGGAGTCTAGAGCTCCAACTCACAGGTTGCAGGAATGTGGGCAGTCCTGGCCAGGCTGCTTCTTTCTGCAGACCTCACCACAGCTATGTGGGATTTCATTTCTGCTCCATTCGGGATTCCTTACCTTGCCTAAAACATATCGGATCAGAGAGTTAAAGGTGTTAATTTCAACTGTTATCTGTTATCCCAGAGACTTCAGTGAAGTAATACAATATAACCAGACAGTATGAAACACAAGTGAGGTTTTCATTCGTTCGATAAACACATTATCCTCAAATAAAAAGTTGAATGTAATGCTACTTGTCAAAAGCTGTACCGAGCATGATAAAGTTGGGATTACCTGGAAAAGGCAAACTAGTCATTTTTACTTACGAAAATGTCACTTTCACTAATTTAATCTAAGATTTTAAAAATAATCCTTTAAAATAAGTCCTTCTATAAATGGGTCTTTGAATTGACAGGGGAGTATCTACTTTAAGAACCCAAAAGAGGAAATAAGCGAAGACAGCAATGGCGGGGAAGTAGTAGTGATGGAAAGAACGGAGGATCCCCTGAATAGTAGGAACTTGCCTATTCTAAACTTGTAATATAGGCATAAAAGGGTTATAGTTTTATAATCAAGTCACTCAAAAAACCTTTAGTAAGCCTCTTTCATGAACCCAGTGCATGGGCAGGAAGAGTAAAACTGAGGCATGGGACTCTCCCTCGACCTTGAGGAATTCATTCTCACTTGGGCAATTTACACCCTAAATGAAGCCAATTCCTGATCCTTGGCCTCTGCTCTTCTCTCCTGCCTGTCTCTTTGAGAAATCGTGTTCATTTCTGTGAGGTTCAATACACCTAAAGGCCAATGAGTCCTAAATCTTTATTTTCTACATTGCCCTGAATGCTCAGTTTCAGTCCTACATGTCTAACTGTCTGCTGAACATCTGTGCTTGAGGTTTCGGTCACTTCAAATTGCCTATGTTAGCATCTTTCTTCTTGGGCCCCAACCTCTTCAGGGTTCCCTGTTTCTGTTAGTGACACCATCACTGTCAAGAGTCTCACAAACTCGGGACTGTCCTGGTGGTCCAGTGGCTGGGACTCTGCACTCCCAATGCAGGGGGGCCGGGTTCAATCCCTGGTCAGGGAACTAGATCCCACATGCTGCAATTAAGACCTGGTGCAGCCAAATTAAAAAAAAAAAAGAGTCTCACAAACTCAAAAACTAGAATCATCCTCCTTTTTCTTCTATTTAATCACCAAATCTTGTCAATTTCCCTACATAGTGTACCTCACACCTTGTCTCCCTCCACCCCAACTCCTGCTCTTCCTCTCTACCGGCCAGAACCTCATCTCCTCACTAGCAGAAAAACTTCCCCGACTCTGTGCTTTCTTGCTTCGACATGATGCCCAGGTTTTCTCCTACCATCTTTCAGTGGCCCCACCTCCTTCCCTGACTCTAAAAGGTAGTTCTTCCCCTTCACCTGCCAGGGTTCTGCATTATCGACTTCTTTTCCCCCATCACCCCTTCAACTACTAGCGCCTCATCTATTGCTCTCAACTGCGACTATCACCCCTAAATCCTGATCTTTCTTCAAATATTCCTAACTTCCTGTAGAACATCTTTCACTAGTTGTCTCACTCCTCCAACTCAACATTTCTAAATTAAATTCACTTGTCTCCACCAAACCTGGTTCTCTTGACCTGCCCATTTCTGTTCTTGGTATCACTGTTTCCAAAAGCGTGAAACTCTGGAGCCAAGTTTGGGTTCCTTCCTTTCCCACTGTGTGTTAATTCCTGTTTACCTTTGAAATTTTACACTCTTTCCTTTCTGTCCCACTCTAAAAGCCATTCCAGACTTTCACTATTCTTCACCTGAGTTATTATAAGTCCCCAAACGGTTTAGGTCCCAAAATACTTTACTCATTGCCGCCAGACTGATCTTCATAAAGAATCACTTTGACGCCTTCAGGGGCTTCCCACAGCCTGACAAATGAAGTACCAACGTCCGGGCCTGGCACGAAGTCACCCCTACCTTTCATTCATCTCCTACTCCTTCACCTTCATAGGCCCTGGGCTCCATAACTGGATGACTCCTCCCAACAGACTCTAAGCCTTGTTGGTTTTAAATCTAGTTTCCAAGCCCATTTCAATTTCACCTCCTTCATGAAGGCCCCCTTTATCATCCAGCCAGAAGTCACAGGCTCTGTACTTCAAGTAGAATAGCAAGTTAATTGTGTCTTAAATCTTAGCCTCTAACCTCTGGGAAGTCAATTAATAGTCTCATTCCTCTGTTTCTTCATGGTGCCTGGTACGTTAATAAGTTCTCAATAAAGTACATTAAACCAATGGTCTCCCTGAAGAGCAGAGAGGGCAAAGTCCTGAGGTACAACAAGGCTAATATTTGCATTCCCACATCATTCTACCTCACTCAGATCATCTTGACCTTCAGCCCCACATTCTTTTACCTTCTTAGGTTCTCATATACAGTTTGTCAGTGAAGGCTTTTACAAGACTGTAAATTTCATTATGGTGCCTCATGTTTAAAAATCCTTTAAAATAATTAAGCCTTGGTATTAGCCTTAACTGTCCAATTTACAATTGATCTCTTGCTGCTTTTCTGGTAGTCCATTCAAGAATATTCATTCCAAAAAAAAAAAAGAATATTCATTCCTTCAACTAATGCCAATTCAGTATCTGCTAAGCCTCAGATTTTCGCAATAAAACATATGAGACCAGCAGAATTTGGGTAAGAGTGGCCAAACTGGGAGTGGAGATAAGAAAGGGAAGTTTTCTCTGGAAGAGGACCGTTTGGGTAAGATCTTGAATGAAACAGTGGGTGAGGATTTAAAGAAAAGAAGGCAGCTGAGCACACAAAGAGGCTGAGTCTAGAAGTTAAAAGCGGCTGGTGGTCAGTGACCGACTCTTGGTGGAAGCTGGCAGTTAACTAGCAAGAAAGGAGAAATGCGAGCAAGTTAGTCAGAAAAGGGAGAGCAAGCAGAAAAGAAACAGAGCTAGTCATTTCAAGAAGCGAGTGGTCAAAAGTAATAAGGGCTGCTGGGTGGCAAAAAAATGTAAGAATTTATCAAATCAGCCTTGAATTTGGTCAGGAAGGGAGTCATCGATGACTTCTGAATATAGTTTCAGTGAGGTAATGAGAAGTAAAAATGGAGTAGTTTAAGGAAGGAGAAAAATGGTTAAGAAATATAATCTGAGAAATCAACAGCCAGATGGTAAGTTCAGTTCAGTCACTCAGTTGTGTCTGACTCTTTGCGATCCCATGGACTGCAGCACACCAGGCTTCCCTGTCCATCAGGTGGGAAAGTCTAGCCATTAAAAGACAGGCAGGAAGCTCAATTCCAGAAAAATAAATGACCTAATCAAAAACTGGCCCAAAGAACTAAACAGATATTTCTCCAAAGAAGACATACAGATGGCTAACAAACACATGAAAAGATGCTCAACATCACTCATTATTAGAGAAATGCAAATCAAAACCACAACGAGGTACCATTACATGCCAGTCAGGATGGCTGCTATCCAAAAGTCTACAAGCAATAAATGCTGGAGAGGGTGTGGAGAAAAGGGAACCCTCTTACACTGTTGCTGGGAATGCAAACTAGTACAGCCACTATGGAGAACAGTGTGGAGATTCCTTAAAAAACTGGAAATAGAACTGCCATATGACCCAGCAATCCCACTCCTGGGCATACACACTGAGGAAACTAGATCTGAAAGAGACACGTGCACCCCAATGTTCATCGCAGCACTGTTTATAATAGCCAGGACATGGAAGCAACCTAGATGCCCATCAGCAGACGAATGGATGAGGAAGCTATGGTACATATACACTATGGAATATTACTCAGCCATTAAAAAGAATTCATTTGAATCAGTTCTAATGAGATAGATGAAACTGGAACCCATTATACAGAGTGAAGTAAGCCAGAAAGATAAAAGACCAATACAGTATACTAACACATATATATGGAATTTAAAAAGATGGGAACGATAACCCAATATGCAAAACAGAAAAAGAGACACAGATGTACAGAACAGACTTTTGGACTCAGTGGGAGAAGGCGAGGGTGGGATGTTCTGAGAGAATAGCATTGAAACAAGTATACTATCAAGGGTGAAACAGATCACCAGCCCAGGTTGGATGCATGAGACAAGTGCTCAGGGCTGGTGCACTGGGAAGACCCAGAGGGATGGGATGGGGAGGGAGGCGGGAGGGGGGATCGGGATGGGGAACACATGTAAATCCATGGCTGATTCATGTCAATGTATGGCAAAAACCACTACAATACTGTAAAGCAATTAGCCTCCAACTAATAAAAATAAATGAGAAAAAAAAAAGAGAAAAGCAACTTCAAACCAAAAAAAAAAAGGACAGGCAGGAAAGAGAGAGAAAAGACATGCAGGAAATATGTTAGCAACAGATACAAGCATCTGGATCACAGAAAGTGTTTTTCCTAACACATGGGAGAACCAAGCTATTCCAAAACAGGAAGAAGTATTCCATGAAGAGGAAAAGCACAAGGATAGAGTTTGTAATGCTGGTTCACAGAAAATCTCTCTTGATTATAAAGGCCAATGACTGATTTCTTGGATTAAATAAAGTACGTCACACTACTCTTCACTCATGTTATTCAAATCTGGAATTTCAAAGTGAGTTACAGTTAGAGGTGAGAAGCAGCCTGTACCCACTTCTGCCATCTGATCAGCTCTGATCTAAAGAGAAGACCAAGGAGACCTGGTGGGCATGATGAGAAGGCCTATCTCCAGAGCAGTCTGCCAAGAATACAAAGGCCTGTGACTTTAGCTGTGTACAGACCACATGCATGTGATGTCTCACAGACGCCACAGCTCTGCAGTCTCGTTAGTCATTTCTAAAGCACACCCAGCACACCGCCTCTCCTATGCTGGGAAATAAGGTACAATGCACAAAGTGAAAGCAAATCACACCAGTGTATGTTAAAAAAAAAAAAACTCACCACAGAAACAAGTGTAGGTATTAGGAACATGTGCAGAAACATTCTGACATGCAGGGCACCTCCAACCACTCTGGCCATCTGTCAAGAAAAATGAGAGGAAATCAAAATAATTTCCTTACAAAAGCACATGTAATTTAAAACATTTTAAATCTATGGGAAGCCATAATACTGAAGCAGTTGTAGTAGTTTCCATGTTAAGGATCAGACTTTAGAGAAACAAATTCACAATAGTGAATGCTTTGCTTAAATATTGGATTTAGGCTTATATTTATAAGGACTTCAGATACTGTGAATAAAGTAAGTATGCATTTCATCCTACTTTTTAAAACTGAAATCGAATCAGCATGTAACATTGTGTAAGTTTAAGGTGCACAGCGTATTGATTTGATACATTTATATATTATGGTATGATTATCACCATAGCCTTATTTCCACCATTTCATAAAATTAAGAGAGAATGTTCTATTACTTTTAATATCAAAGTAATCATCTGAACCTTTGTTTGAAAAAAAGTACGAAAGAATACTTGAGTACATGCAGGAAAACCCAAATGTTTTCAGCTAGAAGCACCAAAGTTTAGAAAGTATATATTATGAATAATATTCGCATTATCCTGCCCAAGAATACTGCAGTGGGTAGCCTATCCCTTCTCCAGGGGATCTTCCCGAACCAGGAATCAAACTGGGATCTCCTGCGTTGCAGGTGATTCTTTACCAGCTGAGCTACCAGGAAAGCCCCAAAACACTTGAGTACATGCAGGAAAACCCGAATGTTTTAAATTAGGAGAGCTAAAGTTCAGAAAGCATATTTAATTAATAATATTTGCATTATCCCTAAATACTATATAACTTTGGGAAAAGCCCACAAAATACTATGGAGAATCTGTTGGATTCTATGAATAGAATTCATAGTATTCTGTTGAATACTATGGAGATCTGTTAAAGCTATAGCAAATTCAAAAGCCTAAAGGTAAATTAAATACTGCTTTCTATAAATTTTCTAAGCAAACTATACAAGAAATCTTTTCTAATGAATAAGCTACAAGGATCTACAGTACAACACAAGAATCTACAGTACAACACAAGAAATATAGCCAGTATTTCATAATAACTATAAATGGAATATAACCTTTAAAAATTGTGAATAGCTATGCTGTACACCTGAAACTTATGTAACATCGTATATAAACTATACCTTCATTTTTAAAAAGCTGTTCTCTATAGTTGCTACTTGGATAAAAGCAACCATTTTCAGTAAAAGTCACTGATTATGTTGTACCTTAAGTATATTTTAATGTGTTATGTTTAGCTGGCTTAAGATTTATAGCTTAATAATGGTCATCCAAAATATGTGATCAGGACAACATACTCTCCCTTGCAGATAAAACACTCAAGGAGAATTAAACTTGAGCATACCAAATGGATGAGAAGAACTACTCAGAAGAGAGAAATGACTGACCTGCTTGAGATGCTGGAGACCTGGCCCATTTCTTTATGCAGTTCAAGTGAAACACATGGTAACAGCTCTGACAACTCCACACCGGGGCTGTGACACGAACCAACTCACAGCACACCATGCACTCGTATTTTTCTGTGGTGAGCTGTTCAATCAGAGAACCTGTTTAAAAAACAAAACAGATAAACTCAAACACAGAAAAACATTTCTTAGTCAACCAAGGATCAGCAAGGCATCTGAGAGAAGAAGGCAAACAGAGATTTTATGGGATGTCTGGCTCTGAGCAAGGTGGTTGTTCAGAGTGTGAGGCTGGGAAGGGGCAAGGGTATGCTGAGATGGAGGCCTCAGGAAGAAGCAGGTCTGGGACTCAGGAAGGGATTCACACATCTGAGGAAATATTCCCAAGAAACTGCCCAGGATCCCACCAGCATCTCCTCCTAACACACGGCTAGAGTGTTCACAGGAGAAATTCCTGTCACCATGCCTTGCCCTCTCTGAATTTACCATATCCATGAATTTACATTCGGGAGGGGCTCATGAAGCTGCAGTGGTCAGGTGCAAGAAAACTAAGCCTAGACAGGTTTCAATAACCCATGGTCATGAGACAGTTCTAGTAGATACCCTGGAAGTCTTTGGTTGTTCACTCAACAAAGACAGGCTTGGAGCCTACCACAAGCCCCACAGTAGGGTTACTAGACTGAAGGAGACACAGTCTCTGGTTCCAGAAGCTCAGCATCTATGAGAGAGACCAGGGTGTGATGTTGTAAGAATCCTCCCAGATTTACTCCTCAATACCGTCACCCACTTCCAGACTTTTGCCTCGACACGATTTCAGCGAAGTCTTTCTAAATCCCAAGTGTAGCCAGACCTGAGAGGACATAGTGTTTGTGTATTCTTTAAGTCCTTATTTTTAGCATTTATTTCACAATACTACTTTATCCGTTATCAGGTCCAAGTAAAAGAGTAAAACAACTAACCTTAAATATATCATGCTGATTGCTGTGCTAAACCACTTTATACATATTTAATTCTCTTAACAAAGATATAATAGAGGTACCATTCTATAGATGAGGAAAGCAAGGCTCAAAGTGGTTAAACCGTTCACCTAAGATCATATAACTAGAAATTTAAAAATCAAAATTCAAATCATCACTATTAATGTGAACTCAAAAATTCACATTTTAATCATTCCATAACATCAGCTTCCTAAGATTACTCTGTTTATCCAGTTCAGTGTCAAAAAGAAATACAGAACACAATATTGTCAGCTGCGGGAGGCAGGACCAGGGCCTTGATGACTGGAGTATTTCCACTGCCTGGCCCATACCAGGTGCTCAGTGGTATTTCTCAAAGAACGAGTGAAAGAATAAATGAGTATCATCTAGTCTGTGTCATAACCTCTCTCCCTGGAAAGTTTTAGGCTTTAGTAAAGTTTCTGAGATAGCTCTTTTCCTCTGGAGAAAGCCTGGAATGAAGATACTGTGAGTGACTGATGAAAGCGAAACTGATCTGCTCTAGACACAGATGGACACATTATAAAATTGAATTCTATTATAAAAACCAAGGAATCAAATTCTTCCTTAAAAGCAGGGATACCCTAACTTGCATAGTTTAACATTTCTTAATAACAAAGTTAATTATATTTCCTACCAGTTACCATGCTACATATGGAAGATTCTGGAGGTAAGAGGAAGCCCCTAAGAGAGTGAGATTTAAGTCTGAGACATTTATATATGAAGCTGACTGGGGCAGAGGAATGGTCGGTGAGACTTACACTTAGGGTGACTTTTATAGAAAATGCCTACTGACCATTCCAGAATAGCACTGAGTCAGAATTAAAACACGCAGAAAGGTTAAGTGAAGTATGGAACATCCCCGAGAACACTGTAATTTTCACCCTGAAGACTGTCTGTTTATTTTACTGTTTCTCTTATTCATTAAATTTATTGCTTGTTAAGAAATCACTACTGTGATGCTTCTAAGCCCAGTCACAGTGAAATCTGACCACTAGGATGCACATACATTTAGCTAAGTGGTGACAGCTGTCAACTTTGAATATCCTACAAATTCCAGCCTTTCCCAAGGCTGTCTCTTTCATCCCATGTCGAGCATGTTCATAAATCCTGCTGGTTCTACCTTCAAAACGGATCCAGAGCCCAACCTCTGCTGCTAACACTCTGGTCTAAGCCGCTATCCACTCACCTGGATTACTACAATGGCCTCCCAACTAGTCTTCCTCCTTCTGCCTTGTCCACTTCAGGCTATTCTCACCACAGCCACCAGAGGGAGCCCATCACATGAAAATCAGAAGATACACTCTTCTGTCAGAGCTTGCCAAAGGTTCCTCCATCACGTGCAGCTGGAAGCCAAAGTCTTCACAATGCCCTTCACCACCTTCCAGCCCTCACCTGTGACTCCTCTTTCCTTAGGCCACTTCTCTGAGACAACAACAGCCTCCTTCCTAGCCCAAAACTGGCAGGCAGATTCCTGCAGGGAGATTTTTACAATTTGTTCTTCCGTCTGCCTAGAGTACACTTTCCCCCGACATCTGCACAACTCAGTTCCTCACCCCCTTCAGGTGTTTACTCAAAATATGGTCTTCTCAGTAGGGCAGTCTCTGACCACACTTTAAAAACTGGAACCCACTCCCCTAAGCATTCCATATCTCTCCCATCTTCCTTCGTATCACTAAAATCTAATATCATATATTTTGCTTATTTTACCTTATTTCCTAACTCTATACATAGAAGGCACTCAATAATACTTGCTGTATGAATAAAAGAAAGTAATAAATGTCAGTAAAAGGTTCTAGAAAGACACTATAAAGGGAGACAGTATAATTCTTTCACCAACATTTCAGTTTTATCAAAATCTGTAACATGTAAAACAAGGCACTAACCCAGAATAGCTCTGCGCCAGTGAACTGTCCCATTTCGGGTGTAAGACTCTCGTCCAGGCTGGGTGCAGCCCTGTCCTGACCGCTGGCTCCTCTTCACTCCTGAACCCTCTGCCACTCGGGCTTCTCCTCCATGCCTCAGTCATGCCTGGGTCTACTTTACACTTACACTTTGACAGCATGTCGGTAAAGACAGTGACAAGCCAGGGAAACAATCAGAAGAACAGAGACCTGTCTGTAGAAGTGACTACAAACTTTTCAGATACACCAATAAATGATGAAAAACAAAATACCTACAACAATCCTAACCTGAAAAATCCAATTGTAAAAAGACATTTTTTGAGGAAACAGGGAAATTCAGTTGTAGACTGGGTATTAGATGATTTCAAGGAATTATCACTAACTTTGTTAAGCATAATAATGGCACTGTGATTATGTAAGAAAATGGCCATATTATTAAAACAGATGTAACCTAAAATACATGAAGGTGAAATAATCTGATATCTGGAATTTAATTTAAAATATATCAGAAAAAAGGGGGGGAGACTGTTTAAATATTAATGCATATCTACTTATGGTGTATTATATATTAATTTAAAGTTTACCAAGATTTCTTAATGAGTGGGAAATACTATAATAAGCAAAAAAGGATAAAACTTATGTTTATTGTATGATTTCAACTATGTAAAACTGAGCACTGAAAAATTCTTTAAGGAAACAGATTAAAAGGTCAAAGCGGATTATATCTAGATGGTGGAAAGAAAGGTAAATTACTTACCTATCAACTTTAGTAAGCCACCTTATTTAAGGCAGCTGTTTTTAAAAAGCTGGTAGCTGATACAATGTAAGCATGATCAATGTGTTTAAGATGGTCTTGCTGAGTCTGAAGCGTATGTCAGACATCACGTTTATTTGTGTTAGTCTAAGGCTTGTGGCAGAGTTAGGGGCTGCAGGTAAAGGTTTTTAAGTCAGTACAGCACAGAGGTGGGCTTCCCAGGTGGCTCAGTGATAAACACTGCGTGCTAATGCAGGAGACGCGAGTTCGATCCCTGGGTCGGGAAGATTCCCTGGGAATCTCCCCAGACTTGGGAAGAGCTTCAGGCGGAGAACTTAGAGGAGCAGATGTAAAAAGGTTGATGAAAGGAATTAAGAAGATCTCAGAATGAAAGAAAAGGAAGAACAGGCACAGATGTCTCTGAAGTTGCAAAAAGTTGAGAAAGTATGCCCTTTCTTAAGTAATGATGTTCCCTTCTTCAGCAAAGTAAGAGGCAAGGAGGTCTGCTGAGGTCGGGAGATCAGTGAATGTCAGGAAGGTCTGAATAAGTGTGAGAAGGGTTTGTAGTAGTCTTAAATGAAAACGGGAAGGACAGCTGCCCAAAGTCATTTAAGGGGAAGTGAGCAATGAAAGCCAGCTGAGCTGGATGGAGTGAGCGAGCGTGTATGTGAGCTCCTTCACTTCACTGGTGTCTGACTCTTTGCAACCAAATGGACTGCAGCCCGCAAGGCTCCTCTGTCCATGGGATTCTCAGGCAAGAATACTGGAGTGCGTTGCCATGCCCTCCTCCAGGGGATCTTCCCGGCCCAGGGATGGAACCCACATCTCCTGTGGTTGCTGCACTGCAGATGAATTCTTTACCACCAAGCCACCAGGCAAAGCCCAAGCTGGAGACCACTATTTAAAAATATTCACTGAGAACCAACCATGTATTGGGGTGGCCAAAAAGTTTGTTTGGGTTTTTCTGTAACATCTTATGAAAAACCCAAATGAAATTTTTGGCCAACGCAATACTAGACACTAAGGATATACAGTGAACAAAACAAAAAAGAATCTTCTCCCCTTATGAAGTTTACCATCTTGTGGTGGAAGGTAGCCAATAAACAAATAAATATTGAAAATAAGCAATATCATCAAATAGTGACAAGTGCTATGGAGAAAAATAAGCCAGGAAAAGAGATTAGTGAGAGGCAGGTGGGGGAAGTATTAAGAGTTTGAAATAGGGTGATCAGGAAGGCTTCCCCCAGAGGGTGACTGAACACCAAGTCTGTGCTGTTACACAATTTCCTGGAACGGCGTTCTATCATGCAGACAGGGGAGAAGAGCTGGATGCAGCACGCATCCAGGGTCGCGACCCCAGCAATCCCAGGGTTGGGATTCCTCAAACGTCTTGGCAGAAGGGTTAACACTTCAAATGATACACAGTAAGGTCCAGCCTGAAGACGGGAATGAAGGAGAGGAGACGGACAGAACTGGCAGTGGGTGGAAGAG